ACCAAAAAGCAACACTGAAATAAAAATGCCATCCAGGCGATAGAAGTAAGGTAATAGAAAGAAAGATCACTGGGATTGCAATGGTGTTCCTTTCAAATTATAAAATAAGGATTTTTTTCTTGGTATTGCGACAGCTTGTGGGAAGCCCACTTTTCCAAACCAAGTTTTATTGACTAAGGTGGTGTGAAAACTCAGAACAAAAAGCCTTTCCCTGCTCCAGACACCCCCAGTCCGAGTGTGGGCTTAGTGACTCACCTGAGGGAGCAGCAAATCGTGACAATAGGCTTAAAATATCAACACTTAGTCAGTCTGCACATTATGGAGGGATATTAAGAACCACTTTGACTACAGCAAACAGTCTTGTCATCAAAATCTGCTTGGTTTTGTCTGCCATGGTGGGGAAGGTCCGTGTTTGGAAGGGGTTTGCAGGTGTTCACACGATGTCAGAATTCCCAAAGCCAGAGTGTCCATGAGAGGCTACCCCAGAGCCATGAATTCAGGTGTGCCTTGGAACAGGTTTGTGTGGCCAGAGTGCTAAGAACAGAAAATACTTGGGGAAGGCTGGGAAGGTGGACGGGGCTGCTCCACCCTCGGTGTGTTTGCACCCAGTGTTTGTGAGCACTCCCTGGGCTGATTGTGGAGGCAGAGCAGGGCAGGGGCAGAGCTGGGGGAGCAGCACCTCACCTGGACCAGGTCCAGCTCCCAGAGGGTGTCCCAGCCACCCTTCCCCAGGTAACTCCTGCTGCTGGCTTGGCTTTTCTTGGGTTTTGCTTTTGCTCTTCCTCCTCTGCTCGAGCAGCTCTGTCCTGTGCTTTCCTACTGAATGATCCTGGGATTTCCTGCTTGGCTTCTCTTGTTTGGGCTTTAAAGCACCTGCTGTAACTTTTCACTTGCAATTGCACTGACTTTTTTCTGCAAAAGGACACAAGAATGCAAAGACCAGCTTTCTGACAGCACCTTTCTACCGGCCAGGCTGGGATTGTTCACCTTGTGGCATTGTTGAACTGTTCCCTCCCTGAATGCCCAGGGTGTGAATGTTTGAACTGTTTTGTTTTTCCCATTTGGCTCCAGTGCAGAGTGGCTGAAAGAATTGTATTAAAAACTGCCCCTAGAGCCTTGAGGGCTGTGGTTCTGCATGCCCTGGATGCACAGGCAGCTGCCAGGCTGCTACTCGAGTTGTTCTTGGGTGTTTCTTGTTTGCTGTAGGTGAGTCAGCTCAACCCTTCCTTCTCCTTCCCTTCACCACTGTCTATTGTGTGTCCATTCCTCCTCCCCAGCCACTGGCAGGGCTCAGATGCACTTGGCCCCTGCTTTCATCACACCCAGCACGTGTCTGAGGTGTCAGTTCCTGCAGGACAGCAACTGAGAGCTGCGCTGAGGGAAGGTAAGGAGACTCTCTAAAACTCTCTCCTATTATTAGTCCTTTCTTGGCTCCACTTGAATCAGAGCAGGAGCTTCTGCCTTCCTACCTGGACAGGGACCTGTCTCAGTGCTCACCTGGGTTCCAAGAGGCAGGATGTTCATTGTTCTTACTGACATTTAAGTGCAACATATGGCAAGTTCTACTGAGGAATTAATTGTGTACTTTTGACATTAATAGACACTGTGACACAGGTGATTGTGATATTGCAGCTCGGCCAATACATTAGAAAGGTCAGGCTCAGCTGGCTTTAGCCAGAGTACACAGGAGATCACAGGTTTTGTCGTAGTTTTCTCTCACTGTTTTCAAATCTTTTACCACTCTGCCAGTACCAAAACAATGATTTTTGAGAGAGAGAGAGAGAAAAAATTTAATTTTCCCAAGCCTTGAACTTCTGCTCAGGCACACGATGCTTCATATAACACCAAAAAAAATTTAAAATACATTTTTTCTTTTGTATTATTTTCTGCATTACAATAGAAGCAGTGAAGCATAAGTGGGGAAAGGAATTGTTTCAGAGCCATGTCTGATGGAGAGGCTGGTAGTTCATGTTCCTTTTTAAACCAGTTGGGCTGCATTCCACCTGGCCTGAAGGAGCCCCCCACGAGGATAAGATCCTTGAAATTCAGAGAAAAAAATCTGTTTCTAGAAAGGAGGTCTAAGGATGAGAATGAGCTTTCTCCAGCTCCTCCTGACTTCTAAGGGCTTTCTTCTCATTTTGAAGAATGTTCTTGCATCAGCATCATCTCTTTTCCTTCTCAATCATCAAAAATCGTCTGGTTCCTGTAAATGCTGTCAAATCTTCTCTCATAGACTCCCAGGTTTGGTGAAGGTTTGCTCTGTACTCACAGATTACTACATTTCTGTGCTTCTCAAATGTAGAACAAAGGGCACAAATAGGTCTCTCTTGGTGGTTGTGCTGCTAAGAAATATGATTAATAACTGAGACACCCAAAGGAGAGGCCAAGTGAGCACCCTGAGGGTGGTGTTGGGCTCACAGCTGGACAGATGTGCTCAGTGGTTGACAATGTTTGAGTCTGCTCACTGGGAACAACCTCATGGCCACATCCTGAGAGCTCCCAAAGGCTCCTGTCCTCAGACAGGTTCCTGCGCCCTGGGAGTCCTCAGTACCTTCTGGAATGGCCAGAAAATAAAACACAACAAGTTCCACCTCAGCATGAGGAAGAATTCCTTCCCGTGGAGGTGGCAGAGCACTGCAGCAGCTGCCCAGGGAGAGTGTGGAGTCTCCCCCTCTGGAGACATTCCAAACCCACTTGGACTCGTTCCTGTGTCACCTGCTCTGGGTGACCCTGCCGTGGCAGGGGGGTAGCAGTGGGTGATCTCCAGAGGTCCCTTCCAACCCCAATATTCTGTGATTCTTTGGTTCATAAACACATTCTGAGTGCCCTTTATTTTTCAGAATAATCTCTTTGCCTTCACATTTAAGGATTTCATCCCATTTACTCAGCTCTAGAGCCCCACATGGGTGCAATGAGCTGCAACAGTCTCTGCAGCAGCAGTTTTGAGATGTGGTGGCAGAAGGGAAGAGCTGTGACATTACTCACTTGGCAACTTGAAACTCTGCCAGTGTGATACCATTTTGTGTATTATAATTTCTGCTGATGCTCAGATTTGTCTGTAGGTGGCAGTGACCTGTCATTTTCTCCTTAAAATTGGGCAGAAACACATGTACATATATATCACAGAATCACTGAATGGGTTGGGTTGGAAGGGACCTTAAAGATCATCTCATTCTACCCCCCTACCATGGGCAGGGACACCTTCCACTTAACCAGGTTGCTTCAACTTGGCCTTGGACACTTCCAGGGATGGGGCAGCCACAGCTTCTCTATTCCATGATTCTATATCTGCATGGAAAACTGTGTTTGGTGTTTTGGGATCATATTCTGAAAGGGTAATGCTGCAAGTTCTCCCATTTTTAGGAAAAATAAAGCCTCCAATAGCTATCCAGCTTTCTGTGAGAGAGAGTTCTGGTGAGAATATTCTAAAATTCCACATGACCACTGTGTGTGTTTTATTTTAGTGAGAATTATAAACTTGATTTTAGAAAATGGGTAATTTCTTCTAGAGAAAAACCTGCCAGAGCTCAGGGCCTGTGATCTCTGCTCTGTATCATTTAAAGATAACTTGATGTGAGTAGACCTGCAACAACAGGAAACTGGAGTGGCTGAGAATCAAGATACAAATCGTTGTTGAAATAAAAAAGAAAGAGAGGAATTTGCTTCTCTCTCTCCCCACAGATACAAACTGATTTTACAATTCATGTTAAAAAGGAAGCAAACTTGCAAATATTCCATCTTTTGCTTGTCTCCTGGCATAAAGTAGGCTTTGTGAATGGAAAACAACAGTAAATCCTCCAGATTCAACAAGATACTAAATTTACCATCGAGACTAAGCAGTAGGATTTGAATCTTGTTTTCTTCTCTTCCAATGGAATAATGTTTAAAGTTGCTAGGAAACAGAATTACAGAACAAGGACAAGAGGCCATTGTACATCCACAGGGAAGCTCTGGCTGTTTTCCACCACAAATCAGAACTTCTGATTTATACTGGAAATATCAGCTGAGGAGATAAAACCCCTGTAAAATAACTCTGCACCCTGAGCTTGAGCTCAGCAAACAGTAACTGGAAGCAACACATTCCAATTTTGGTGAACGTGATTTAGCAAAGCTACTGTTTTCCTTCTTTTATCCAATGGCTACAGGTTGTTTAATTAAAATTTAATCTAATTAAAGGAGTTGTTCTCATCCATGCCTCTGCAGCTTCACTGACTCATGCAGGCAGAAAGCAGAGCAGTAATAAAGCAGGAGGCACTTGGTACCCATGGAGGCTGTGCAGGACATCCAAAAGGATGAGCACAGCTCCAGCCCTCTGCCTTCCTCTCTCTGGACACCCTCCTGTCTCAAGGTGTGGCTCAGAATACTTTCTCTTCACTGTTTGTTTATTTATCAGTATATACACATCCATATCCTGAGCCAAAGTCTAATAGGAACTTCCCTCTTGACTTCAGAATCGCTTGCCCCTCCACCACATTACAGGGAGATTATGGGGAAAGGAAAATTAAAACTAAACAAAAAACCCAGAAGGTTTATGTGCACTTGTACACAGGAAAGAGGCTGCAATTCAGAGTTTACATGGGTGATGCCTTTACATGCTGTCTCTTTTCTTTTTGCTTTTTCAAAAGTGAAAACCAAACAAAGATATATGAGCTGTTGTAATTTATTCACAGATTTAAGTGTTTTTCTGCTGCTAACTCCATGTTGCTCTCTCCTCTGCCCTAATGAATGGTGCAGGTGTGATTGCAACCAGTTTTCCTCAACAAACAAGAAAAGTTTGTTGGTTTGTACCATTTTCTGTGAGCACCTGTGAGCCCTGAGCATAATGGGCTTGGGGTAAAGACTGGTTGGTGCAGCTTGATGATGGGGCAGGTGGGGCTTTTTAGGGACCTCAACAGCCTGTCTGTCCCCATTGGCTGTCCCTTAATTGGAACTAGGCAGCAAATTCATATTAATGAGGAAGGAAAGGTTATTTGGGTTTTTCCCTCCACCTGACAGGAACTATGGGGAATACAGTGAGTGTCCCAGAGGAAGCTGAGGAGGACAGTACCTGCACAATCAAGAGCTACCAGGTAAGGGAGAGCTACCCACTCTCATCTTCCCTCCCTGCTTCCCACTGCAATTTTTAAACCCTGTAAGGTATAAGTCCTAAAAATTGTATTATTTGCTATTTCAGGCTCTCTCTGAATCTCCTGACACCGTTAAAAATGGATCTGCTGTATTTGCTCAGAATCATTCTCCAGCAATGAATGGTGAAGGTAGGTACAGGGAAAGGTGCATTTGCCCTTCTTTTCCCATGAGACAGAGGTTTATCCCTGGGCAGCAGTCAATATTGGGGCATAGTTTCAAAGAAGAAGAGGAGCTCTTGTGAGTCAGTATGTGTGGCTTAACAGAAGCTTGAAAGCTTCAAGATAACAAAGAGTAAAATAAGAAAACACTTCTGAAGTCCTCTGGAAGCTGTTTAATAATTCTAGGAATTTGCTGGCCCACATAAAGTGGGTTTATAGAGTGAAGAGTTTGGTTAATGTCAAGTATCATAATGCAGGAGTGGTTTGGTGCTGGACCTTTCCATGCTGCTGCACAGATCCCAGGGTTTGTGCTTGGGCTCTGGTGGAACCTGTGTCTCCAAGGAACCCAGATCTGGGCTCTTGAGAGGGTGTAAATGCAGCAGTGGCACCAGTACAAGGGGATGTTACCAGTACAGGGGGCTGTTAGTGAGGATCTGTGTTTGTGGGGCACACAAGGAAATGTTTTGCAGGCTGCAAAGAGAGTACTTCATGTGTTGAAAGGGAAAGCAGGAAAGTCCATGTCCTGGCTGCATGTTCTCATCCACAGGGTGGTAAAGTCTTAGGAATCACCTCTGCATTTTTATAGGAAACCGTATTTCTGATCCTTTCAGTAACAATTTCCAGTGACTGAAATGATAGTAATATGACTCTCTCTTATTCATTTAAACATTTCCATCTTGCTCTCTGTTTTCTGGTCCTGTATTCTTTAGTAGGTGCATTGCTTTGACTTCAAGGATGCCAAACAGTTCCTTGTCAACAACTAAATTTGTATGAGGATATCTTTTTCTGTCTTGTTTGTCATTTTAAAATAGCAGTTTGCTGGGAGAAGTCCTGTAAGGTGGCAGGCATTATACCTGCAGTGATGTTGTTATATCAGAATTACCTCTGGCCCTGAGCCCTGGCAGTGCAGTGCCCCTCCTGAGTCCAGGAATGCATCTTAGTGAATACTTAATATACAGAAACCTGCCTTGCTCTCCTTGTAGAGGTAGCAGACCTTCCTGAAGAGAGCAGGGACAAGCTAAAATCTGCAGTGAGAGCTTCATAAAAAACATTGAACTGTGTCAGCTGCTTGTGTTTGAATTCTAGATAACTTAGGGTATATACAGTAGTTTATTCTTTCCCTCATGGTAATGAAATAAAATCTGTGTCCCTGTTCCATACAAACTGTGAGTGTAGCAGCTGAATAGCTGGTGAGGGTATGGATAAATCATGGCTCAGTGAGTGCATCCCATTTCAGCCCTGTTTGGGTGGGGGTCATATGGAACAGGAACAGGTTTTCAAGGGATCACCCCAGGGCAGGTTGGACCCTGAGCTGTCCCTGGAAAGGGAAGCCCCACTTCCAGTGCTGACATCTCAAAAACCTGGGGTGAATTACGTGGCCTGAGCACTCAAAATTTGTTTCCAAGTAGTTTTGAAAACTTATCTCCACATATCATAGACAATTGCTCTCTTTCAAAGACATGTGTGTCTTCTTGCTTGTCAGCACCTCATTAATTCCTTTTTCCACCCCTTGTTGACTTTGGGGCCTTTCAGGACTCAGCAATGCTCCTGTTCACAGCTCTACAGGTTCAGCCACATTCACCTTACCAGCATTTCCTTTGCACTGGATTTCTTTCTGTTTTCAGAACATGATAAACCCTGACAATTGTCTTAAATCTCTGTAAGAAAAGAAAATACTTTCTTATTCGTTATTAAGAGAACCCTCTCAGCCTGTTACATGAACTTGAAAAATCTGATTTTAGACAAAAATAATCAGCCTGTTCTGGTGATATGCAGAGGGCACTGATTACAGCTCTGAATCTCTGTTCCATGGCTAATTTCCTAATACGGTCTCACTTGAAGGCAGTTTAAAGAGTCTTCTACTAGAAAAGCAAAGCTTTTATCTTTGTGTTTCTGGTGGTGTAAACCAGCAAAGTTCTGGGGAGTAAATAAAAGCCAGATGATTTACACTGTCTGAGGACCTAAAAAATGCATGTACATTTTACTCTTAATACATAAAATGAAGCATATGGGATTGTTTTACTTAAATGGATTACCTAATTGATGTAATTACTAAATCAGTTTAAGTAGCAAGTTGAAAAATTAGACTGTCCTATGTTGATACTACTTGTATCTTAACTTTATTCATATTTAAAAAGCAGTTAAATTCATTAGCTGTTTAGATACCACTGAAATCTGACTGGTTTGTGCAATATAATCAAGGTCTTGGTGGAATAAAAGTGCAAGTGCTGTTTGGAGATGATAGACGTTATTACTATGGAAAGCATAATTGACAGCATTTCTAAAATGAAAGGATACAGTAAATAGTAGTGTAGTGGATGTTATGGTCATAAAGTGAGCATTTTTGGGGAAGACAAAGGCTTAAAAAAGGTAATTGAAGCAAGAGGGTTTAATGAGAAGTGTCAGCTAGTGGCTTGTGGTCTTTGTCCTGTTAGTTTGCATTTCTGTGATGGCCAAAGATCTGCCCATGTGCTGTGCATTAGGGGGTACAGTTGATAAATGAGTGTATGAAATCTGTATCTGTTAATATAACAGAAAAGGAATCCAGGGAGTTAACTCCATATGACCAGAGGAAGGAATGTTACTTGGAAGAGCCCCGTCAGCATCTGCTTCACATCTGGGGCAGCAGATTGGGGCCGGGTCCCTGCATTTGCTGCTTCTGCTCAAACAGGCTGACAGCTGTGTGGGCTCAGGGATTCTTTCCATGACTTGCCTTTCCTGCTCCTACTGAGTGTCAGGGTTGCAGACACTGCACAGAGGATGAGCATCCACCTTCTCCCCCTGCAGTGCCATTTCAGCAGCACCAGTGCCCTCACTGCTGCCTCAGGACTCGTTGCTCTGCAAGCTTAAGGAGAGCAGAGTTAATCCTGACTTTTCCTAATGTTCTGTGCTGACCTGTTAGTACTTTAAGTACTTGGTGGGCAACAGGTAAAGGGAAGAAGGCCAGAACTAGAAGCTGTATCTCTGATTTCCACAACACAGAGCAGAAATGGAGCAGGAGAACACAATGGGAACAACTTCACGTGTGTTTGGGTGGTAATTTCATGCAGATCAAAACAATGACCTGCCTCATAAAAAGCACAAAGGAATTACAAACATTACAAGGGAAGAAGGGTTTAATGAAGATGCAAATCCTTTGTCCCAGAGGATAAATCTCATTCAGCAAATTCTGCTCCTACCCAGCACGTAACAGAAATCATGTATTGCAACAGTTCTGTGTGCATGTAAGGCCTGAAACATGTTGCCTTTTAGGTATTTTTTCAAAGAATGATCATTATTATTCTTGCTGCTGGCTTCTATGCCCCCATTTCCATTGATTTCAGTAAATCTGTTAGGTAAATAACGATGGCAGTGAACTTAGTAAAACAAAATTATTTTTGGAGTATAAATGAGCTGTCAACTTTTTTGCATGGAATAGTGGAGCAAGATTGCAAACGAATATTAGTATGTTCTTTCTTTCTTTAAGAAAGGGGGGGAAATGTCTCATTTTGTACTTCTATAATGCACCTGAAAAATCAGTCATTTTAGCCTTGTCACAACAGCTTTTGAGGTCTTTTATGTCAACACAAGGTATACTTGGAGATATGAAAATCCTATATCTACTGTAGAATTATGATGCTGTTCAATCCTAGATAACCGAAGGAAAAATGAACCTACCAAATATCTATAAAAATCTATGAGAAATATAAATGTGAAAATTCACTCATTGCTGCTGTGTATTTAGGTTTTTAAGCCGAGTATTTGTGCAGTAATTCATTCAGGGCTGTTATAGCCCACTGTGCTGGCCTACACTGATGGAATTGTTGGTGCCAAATGTTGCTTTGTAGCCCTTACTGGTTCCTTCAGGGCCATTAAAATCTATTTTCCCCATGATTAGCTGAATCAAAAGCAACAGCATTAGCAAGTGTTTCCTCCTAGGATTGGTTTTGTGGCATGTTCATGTGCTGGTGGCTGGAAAGATGGAAAGAGACTGTTTACAGGAGCCTGGAGTGACAGGACAAGGAGGAATGACTTCGAGACTGATAGAGAGGAGGGTTAGATGGGATATTGGGAAGAAATTGTTGCCTGTGAGGGTGGGGAGTCCCTGGCACAGGTTGCCCAGAGAAGCTGTGGCTGCCCCATTCCTGGAAGTGACCACAGCCAGGCTGGATAAGGCTTGGAGCGACCTGGGATAGTGGAAGGTGTCCCTGGAATGAAATGAGCCCTAAGATCCCTTCCAAACCATTCTGTGATTCTGTAACGTTGCACAAACCATTACTCTGTGCAGTTTTTCTGAAGTCAAGGGGAAAATGATGGTCTAATATACCAAATTTCAGAAAAAATATCCTTGTGATCTTCCAGAAGAGGGAGTTTGTGCAGTTGTGGTGTTTCCTTTTTAGCATATCCTGATGAAGTGAAGGGAAAAGCAAGACAAATCTTCTGCACTGTGACTGTCTTTTGTTAAATACTTGAAAGGAAAGTGCCTGTGCAGTAGTAGCACGAAATGCAGACTCACAGCAGTGCTTTAAATTGTGTATTGATTTTCATTTCAGAGCAGCTTTTAATCTCATTCAGAAAGAGCAGCTTTGATCTACTTGCAGACCTGGCCTAGAATTTGGGAGGTTTTTCTTCTCTTCCTAATTCTGCCTCTGGACTGGGAAATAATTTTTTGAAAGAATGGCACTTCTGTCTCTTTAGAAACAAGAATATCGTGCACTTTTCATCCAAATACTGGTGTTTCAAAGCTTTTCTCTTTCCGTTTGCTGTGGCTGGGCCATGAGTCAGACTCCTCAGTGCAGCCCAGCACAGCAGTGTCTCCTCACTGCTGGTGGGATGTGCTTTGCCTGTGTCTGAGCAGACCTGCCCTGAAACAGTTGGAACTGTCCTGGCACAAGAGACACAGCAGAGCTCACGCCAGTGATGCTTTCCAGGTCTTTCATTCCTTCCATGATAATTAGAGATAAAAGGAGCTTGATAGATCCATGAGCTACTCCTTGTTTAGTTGGTTTGCTTACTGATGAGCTTATATTCCTATTTTTATACTGAAGCCAGTTTTCCTGTGTTTCATTTGTTATCTGTTACATAAAGCAGAAGTTCAGGATCTATTACAATTATTTTCCAATGGATATTGTTTCTCCCTTCTTTAGCTGGGAAAAGGCTTTGCTTTTTGCTTCCTTCCCAAGTTTCCAGCTATAATTAGAAGTTAGTGCTTCAGTTCTTTTTCATACATTACTACAGGGGCTTAGGAAAATATAACTGATCCTTAGTGGCCCCAGCTGAGTAGCTGAATAGGTGGTTGAGTAGCTGCTAATTTGTGCCTTTGCTTTGCATGTCAGTACATTGAAATAGGTGCTCATGAAATATTGCAGAAGAATATTGCTGGCCAAGGATTCTTGCCAGTGGAAGTTATTTTCTCACATGAATAATAGCAGAGAGAATTCAGGGAAAGAAACTTTCTCAGTGTACACAGAAAGCGAAAATCTCTCTCCTGGCCAGAACAGGTTGTGCTGAGGCACTGTGGCCACCCTGCCTTGCCCTCAAACACAATGAGAAAGTAAATGGCACGTTAAAAATGCTGGAAGTAGAGGAGTCAGGAGCCAGGTCCCAGCAGCTGTCAGGTGCTGGTGGCAGCTGTGACTTCTGACCCCACAGCCCTCACTCTGTCAGCTGTTGCCTCCACTGCTGTAAAGTATTTTGGTGAAGTTCCTCGAGGTTTATGCTGTCACACTCTGGGACTGCCCCTCCTGCAGAGCTACCTCCAGCTCTGGGGTTCCAGCACAGGAAGGACATGGAGCTGTTGCAGTGAGTCCAGAGGAGGCACCAGGATGATCAGAGGGATGGAGCAGCTCTGCTGGGAGGAAAGGCTGGGAGAGTTGGGATTGATCAGCCTGGAGAGGAGAAGCCTTTGGGGTGACCTGACTGTGGCCTTCCAGTGCCTGGAGGAGCTACAGCAAAGATGGAAAGAGACTATTTCCAAGGGTCTGGAGTGACAGAACAAGGGGCAGTGGCTCCAAACAGACAGGGAGGAGGGTTAGATGGGATATTGGGAAGAAATTCTTGGCTGTGAGGGTGGGGAGGCCCTGGCACAGGTTGCCCAGAGAAGCTGTGGCTGCCCCATCCCTGGAAGTGTCCAAGACCAGCTAGGATGGGGCTTGGGGCACCCTGGGCTAGTGGAAGGTGTCCCTGCCCATGACAGAGAGTGGAACTGGATGGTCTTTAAGGTCCTTTCCAAACCATTCCATGATTCTTGGGTTTATGGAAGCTTTTACCCCCTGCTACTCAGGATCAATCTGAAGCGTGAAGCAGGTCACCAAGTTAAGGCAATGGGGAAGAGCTGGGTGTTGGAGCTTTGTTCTTCTCCTGGATTTGCCCAGGAATGGGACCAGGAGTGTATCCAGGGTCTCTGTCCCTGCCACATACAGACACATTGTACAGTACCTGCTGATGCTTGGGTGGTGTTATGCAAAATCCTTGGAGGAGGTGGGAAGTTGGGGTACTTTTGGTGTGAAAAGCTAAGAGGTGGCTTTGAAAGCTGTGATCTAAAAACATTCTGCTTGCCTAATCTTAAAAAAGACTTTGACAAATGCAGCTGAACACCAAAGGTCTGTGCTGTGTGTGGAAGACAGGTGTTTCAGTCAGGTTTTGTTGATATCTGGGGTTTTATTCCTCTTAAAGTAAAATGTGAAAGGCATAATATTGACTAGACTATTACAGTTATAATTTGAAATAATTTCAATTTTTCATTGAAACTGTCAATTTTCACATTCTAATTTAGCGAGTCAGTTTGAGGCTGTCAGTTTTTCACAGTTATAATTAAGTAGATCTAAATTCATTCCTGAAATCTGTGCTGATGATTGACAGGGAAGTCAGATCTATATTCTAGTCAAACGAGGGAAGAGAAGCTGGAACTGAGGGGGAGCTGTGCAAGGTTTACCTCTTGACAAGCCTCCTCTCATTTACTGGGGTTTTGCACCACATCATCTGTGATTCAGTCTCCCAGCCACAAAACAGATACAAGAAAGATTATTTTTCTTTTTTCCTCTTGCTTCTTTTGTCTTCTATAAAGCAGAAGCCACCTCCTTCTGTCTGCAAATCTGATCCCTAGGGAATTTCACCTCGCCTGTACTATGAAAGTGCAATTGTATTACAAAATATACTTTTAAGGTGAAAGATATTTCACATCTAAAGTGTGATGTCCCTGTGTGTGCACAAGGGGGAATGATTTGTGAGAATTTTGGTGAGGGAAATGTGATTCATCCGTACTGTTAGTGGGTAAAAAGAGTCAAACGTAAGGACAAGAAGGGTGGCTCGGATGTGATTTATAAGTATTTAAATCAGGCTTAAAATAACCTACAGGCTATAGAGGAGTGCAAGTAGAAACTGCACTGTGAAGAGTAGGCAGCAAGGCAAGGAACAGTGCTGGAAAAATGAATGAAATAAGTCATGACTACAAAGCCCACGGGAGAGTTTGGCCAGCCAGGAAACAGGATCAATCCTTGTGCTTTATGTTCTTTTTTCCTCTTTAGCTTTGACAGAGGAAAGTGTAATATATTAATATATAATCATCTCAAGTTTTACTTAATTTTTTTTTGCATATGGCTAATTTTCATGTAATCTTACTGTGGTGTCCACTGGGCTAAGTAGTAAAAATATGGGTTGTTATCTGACTTTGGCAGCTGAAAGGGGAGGTGTGGAGAAGGTATAATTTGCACCAACTTGGTCAAGTTCAAGTTGAATGAGAAGTGGCAGGAAAGAAAATCAGCCAGGCAGGTGTGATGGATGAGCAGAAGCTCGTATGTAGCACGGGAAGGCACAGGGTCCCAGGTGAGCTGCCCCTTGTGTGGTCCTCCCCAAGACCCCACATTTGGGACCCAGTTTATTGGTCCTCCCCGAGGCCCCACATTTCAGACCCGATTTGTTAAAGCACCGTGATTAATCGTACACCCAGCACACAACTCCTTTGCTGTGCCGGATAATTCCTGTTCTATCCTTCTGTTTGTAGTGGATGCAAAGGCGAGTGTTGCCCGGGATAATGTGGCCGTTTCTTCCCCGAAGACAATGGAGCAGGGCCCCGCTGCCGAGGCGGGCGGGCAGAGCCTCGGGAGCGCTGCCAGGAGAGCTGGGCCAGCTGCTAAACCCCGCTCTGTGCTCGCCTTCTCGTGGGCTGTACCAGGGCGTACTGAAGATCCAGCGGCGGATTCATCACTTGGATCGGCGAAACTTGATGTCAGCCCTGTGTCTCCCAGCGGGAACAAAGCCCTGAGTGAGGGAGCAGAGGTTCCTGGGGCAGCTGTGCCGGAGGAAGGCTCCGATAAAAACCTGAGCCGGGCACCACTGCAGGACATCGAGCTCACGGTGTCACCTGAGGGAGAGGATGTGGCCACCTCAAAGCCAAAGCCAGTGACCTTCTTTGACAGGATCTTCAAACTGGAGAAGGGAAAGGAAAGGAATAGAGCACGAGGTGATCCCCAGGAGGAGCGGCAGGTGTTGGACGTTCCTGACGGGAGCATCGCGGCTGCGGGATTACAGAGCACCTCCAATGGTGTCCCACAGGGGAAGGCAAGTGCTGCTGTAGAATATCCATTCACTAATGAATATTGAATATTGGGAAGATTAATAGAGTAGGACAGCTCCATGTTGGGATGGCTGTGAGTGAATGTGTTGCCACAGGTAACGCCTCGCAGGGCTATCTGGAGAGAGGGTGGGAGAGGAAGCTGTGGTAAAGTGGTGAAGTCCTGGTATCTGTCTCATGGCTAAATGCTGGCACTGACCTCGAATTCAAACTAGATTTTAACTCTCTGAAAGGTTTAGTCAAGATTGTTGTGTCCTTAAGAGCTGGACTTGATGATCCTTGTGGGTCCCTTCCAACTCCAGGTACTCCATGAAATATCTGTGCCCCTGCTCCAATGCCAGGGTGAACAGTAGCCAGCTACCAGTGACAGCAAGAATGCCTGAAACTAAAAAACTAAATGCTTTAGGAGCATGGAGTTTAGCCCTGGATGGTTTTAAAATAGTTCTTTGCTGTGTTTTGTGCCATTCTTAAAATAGTCCCACCTCTTGAGCAATAGCTGCTTGTTACATATCCTACATATTAAAATAAGGAATATGATACAGCAGCAATTTTTTTTACTCCTGCCTATTGTGATTTTTTTTTTTTAGTCAAGGAAATCTGGTCCATTAGAATTGATTTTACAGGATGGGATTGTGATATAAGAAACTAAGTATTATAACTGTGAGAGCACATTAGTCAAAGGAGCTGAAAACAGGTATGAGTTGAGATTTCACACTTCCTGCAAAGATACTGTAGAATTAATTTTTGGGTAATTAACTTCTCAATAAGTCCATCTCCTGGATGGGGATAAATGGCATAACTCTTATTAGTTCAGCTGGAGAGGTGGAATACACTAATTGGTGATCTAATTCAAATCCTGTCCAATGTTAGGGACTGGAGGGAGGAACTGCTCCACTCATCAGAACCTATATATAGATGTTATTTTTATAAAAACTGGTTTTATTGGCCTAGTTCAGACTCACAAACAAGACTGCTGTGTGATCACTCATGCTCTGAGTAGTGCTGAACATAGTTCACCAGATGCTCACTGCTCGCACTGCCAACATTGCAGGTTGTCCCAAAAAGTCTCTTTGATCCTCTGCCTTGTCTTCTCTATCCTAGACCTTCCCAAATTTGAAGATCACATTTCTTGTATGAACTTACAATTTTTAATATTTTTCTGAAGCTTCATTTGTAAGACAAAACATTTGCATTTATGACCACTGCCCTTCCAAACTGGCCCCATCACTAGTGTTTCAGACAGCTACAGATGCATGCCTAAACAATCCACACTCTCCACCAAGCAGAATATCAAGTCATTCACTACCTAAACAGAACAGGGGAGATAATTGAGAATGAATAATCTGTTCAGTGCACACTGGCACTTCTGTGTGTAGCCTGTGAGAAGGAAGCCTTTCAACACTGTAAATTCCTGAAGATTTTTTTTGACCAACACAGACAATAAGTTTGCCTTGTGGCTTGCAGGAATTGTTACTTTTACAACCAAAATTCCTATGTCCTATTTTGCTGTCGTTGCAGTGACACTACTTTCACACTGTCGAGTGTGGAAGGTCACAGTTGGTGCTGCTGAAGTAACACAGTGTGAAACTCTGATGGAATAACAATCTGGAGGAGTTGTAACCAGAAGTCAGAGTTAAACACTTGGTGGGAGCAAATAGTCGTGTTGAAAGCCCAAGTAAACCTGTGATGACTGTGTGAGCAGCCATCAGGGGACAGGACAAGATAATGTAAATCTTATTCTGCCAGTTCTAACAGCTCCTGGAAGCACTGTCCATTCAGATCAAGCTTTTTTTGTATCAGTACTGCCCATATTTCTTACTAATTCTTAGTGATTTGGAGTTGACTTCAAGTTGTCCTGTACCTACCCACATCTTGGATCTCACTAATGGGAATAATCCGGACATCCCAGGCACTCCTCAGCTGTGGGTGATATTTGGTGTCTGAGTGTTTCAGGATTCCAGCCCACACAGCAGCTTTTTGGAGCTGCTTTTTGGGAACCTGCTTGAGGTCAGGTCTGCTGGGTATCAGAAATGCCTGGACATCTTATGTGTGTGCTTAAAGCTGTACCATGGAAATGCTTGAGCACTCATAAAATCAGGGCTCAAGTCACTCAGTGTAAGTAAGTGGCAGAAGTGTATCACAGGGGAGTGAAATTTTGGCCTTATCCTTGAATTTCTGGACTATAATTTTGTATTTAATTCTTCCAACATGAAAGGGAAAATATGTTGGGGGCAGAGAGGAGTTAAGGACCTTTTCTGGGAAAAATATATTAACTAAACACTCCAATATGTTGTCAAATTTAAGTCCATTTCTAAAACAAAAGCTCTGGCTCTGCCTTGCAGCACAGTTGCCTTCTGTTCCCCGAAAGTTTCTAGTTCTCATGTAGGATGGGAGAATGACTAAATCTAATTTAATTACTGTTACTGTAGTAACTACAAACTGTTACCAAATAATCATATTAAAAATCCAGATATTGCTGCCAACAGTTCCTTTTTCTTTTTTTTTTTTTTTGGTGGATTATGACTCGTGGTATCTGTAAAAGCTAAAAGCAAAGCAAAGTTTCCCTGAATTGATTGCCAACACAAAACAAACAGCATTGCTGGTAAGTAAGAGAGAGGCTCCACAGTTGTAGCTTAAGAGCTGCACAAACATTCTGTGTTTGGTGAACCACTCTTTATTTTTGTGGTCTACAAAACTACATTCAGAACACAGCATAATTAAAACAAGGACAGAATTCATGAATTCATGAAGCATTTACTATGTAAGCCAAAGAAAAGATAAATTATATGCCTGAAATGTTTCACTGAGCCATGATTCATGCAAACAAAAGTGCTGGCAGGAATACATTCTTTTGATATGTTTGGGTTTTTTTCTGATGACTGAACTGAAACTACAGTATGAGTATTTAAGGTGTTTATTACCCCTAAATTTGGCTCCTCAGAGAAATGAATTGAACATTTACATGGGATCTGTTAACTCCTAATACTGACCTTCTGTTATTTCTAGACTTTCTTTCATTATTTGCCCCCAGGGCTTTGCACAGGGAGCTACTGCAGAGGCTTTTGTGGTGATTTTGTGGTGCTGAAAACATGATAATGTAGGACTGTGCATTATCTCTCCTTGATTTATATGCTGATGGCCCGAGTCTGTGCTCCTTCCTGCAGCAGTATTCCCTTGGGAGCACAAGATGGATCACAGCATCTGTCAAAGCCTGTATTTCAGTTGTATCTTGGTAATTAAGGGCAGCCTTGGACTGGGAATCCTGGAGTGTGAGGATACTCCTGCAGTGGTGGGTTAGGGGGCACATTTGTGCTCTGAAGTTGGAGCTGAGTGATTTTTGGATAGTGCTGTGCCTCAAGCCCTGCAGTGTCTGCAATGGCTTCCCAGGGAGGTGTCCTGGGACAGCTGGTGCTGCCAGAGGTGGTACCTGGCACTTCTGGAGCTGTCCCATCTGGTATCTGCTGCTGGAGACAGCTGTGTGCAGCAAAGATCCCTTCCTGCTACAGTGCAGCCCAACATCAGGCTTGTGTTGCAATAAAAAAAAAAACCTCTAATTTGTTTATTATTCTTGATAGCATCAAACAGTAAAGAGCTTGATGGCATCAAGTACTCAGCTGTGAAGCTGGTTTTGTTTAGCAACATATCTTGTGCCTCCTGCTCCTCTGATCTCTTGCCTCATGGCTCTATTGGCCCTTTAACATCTGAAAGGGAGCCAGCATTTGTCATAGGAGCTCTTTAGATGCCATCCCTGGCTGTGGGGCTGCCCTGGCCACGCATGTTCTGCATGGGACAGATTGTTCCTGGAGCCACTCTGGCCTGGAACTGGCAGCTGGACAAAGTGGTGTGTTAGGCCCTTGTCAGAAAGTTCTGAATATTTGAGGCACTCAGCCACTGTGCTGTGATTCTTCCTGGGTAAACTTGGAAAATGGTGGGTGGAGAATTCAATAAAAATCTGTTCTTGCATTTAAAGCCTTGTGTATTTAACTCCCTCAATGCTGTGTGGAGACTGACCACTCCATGCTCAGCTTTCCTGCTGTCAGTTTATCCCTCTGAAGTTCTAAACCATTTATGCATCTTTAGGCAACTCCTTCCACTAGTCACCTAGAGAAAACTCTGTCCTCTGCAAATATTATGCAAATGCTGTGAGATTTTTAATTGTCTAGCAGAGGGAAAGGTTCCAGAGCACAATTTATTTTGTTTGACTTTTCACACCAAAAAAACCACTGAACTGTAATGGGTAGCTAAGGGGAAAAAAACCCTTGATGTCACTTAAACCCCCAGGAAGATGCTGTTTACTGGAGATACCTAGACAGGCTCATCAGTATTTCTTGTCCTGGTTTTTCCTGTGGAGTAATCTGGGCATCTGGTTTGCTACAATTTCTTCTCTAGTTGTTCTTTCCTGGTGACCCAATGGATACTTGGGAACTGTGGATTAAACAGTTGGGGATGGTAACTTCTGCTGAACAGTTATGGAACTGCCAGGATGGTCTACTCAGTTTTAAATCCTCACCAAAGTCAAGGTGCCACCATTGTGTCAGTCACAATTTACTTTAAAAATTATCAACGCTGCATTTACAGTGTGGATGGATTGAGGAAAGGAAGGAGGATTATTGGTAACACTCAGACATCACTAACCAGGTGTAGTACTAGTAAATATTTAATAAAGGAGATGCTGAATGGAACATGAGGACTTGTCTCAAGCTGCTCTCTCATAATAGCACTTGTGTTGAATTCACCTGTGCAGGCTCAAGGCAAAGGTGGCCAGAATAGCAGGCAAATTCAAAGTGAAAGGGTGCCAAAACTAGTCATAACCCTCGTTTAGGTGTCTAAACAGAAACTAAATAATAATGCAATATTAATTACATACTTGAGTGCTTGAACACTGGAAAACACTTTCTGGGCTCTGGGAACTGTAATTCCAAGAAGAGAGGAGGCAGCTCCATCTGGCTCAGTAGAATTGCTTTGGGTCATTGCCTTTTTCCTTCTTTTAATCTGTGTCATGTTTGTGTTTGCTAGATAAAAATTACTCCTGGAATGGCAGAATACAGTATCAAAAGCAATCTTTGTATGGTACAATCAGGCACTGGGCTGTCAAGGGCCAAAATCTCAGCCTTTATTCCCAATCTTCGTAAGTTCAGCCTTGAAAAGAGAAGAGTGGTGTTTAGGATGCTGTGTGTGACTTGATTTGTGTTTGTTGTACTTGGTAGCTGAGAACAATGTTCCCCCAACCAAGAGCCAGTGCTGAATATGTTAGAAAAGAGGGGAAAGAGATGTATAAATGCTCAATTGTTCTGAACATGTAGGCTGGGGAAGTATGGTTGGAATTAGGGTTGTGACTCTGAGCAACAGAATGCAAGTCACAAAAGTTACTTTTGCATTCCACTGGAAATCAGGCAAACCAGGACTGAGGAATCTCTACCCCCCCCTTTTTTTTAGGAGATAGATGACTGCAACCAGAAGGACCCACGGGAGGACTCTGCAGGTGTCCCCAGTCCCAGTTCTGCTCAAGCTGAGAAGGCAGAGGTAAAGCAGGACAGCCCCCAGGCAGCTGCTGCAGGAGACAACTCCGTCATGAGCTTCCTCAAAACACTGGTGAGACTTTACCTTTCCTTTCCATCTCTTTAAGCTTTAAATTGCTCCCAAAAATCCCATGTGAACATGAGCTGAGTGTGTGTTTGCTGACAGGGGCAGTGGGGAGGGATGAAATGAGAGGTGTGTGGGTACAGTGCAGTTGTGATCAAATGATGGACACCTGCTCTGGAAACCTTTACTTCTGCACAGATGCTTCTAGACCTGGAAGTATTTACCTGTCTTAAACATCTTTTGCGTGAAGAAATTTATTTTGTTAACATCTCTAAGCTCATTTTTATGAATTGATGTATAAGTTTGAATAGTAAATATTTGGTCCAGGCATTTTTCATTTTAACCATTGACTTCAAGTTGTTCTCAAGAAATGCATACAAGTATTGCTTCCCCCTCATGTGGGAAAATTAATACTTTCACCTTTGTGCTAGAAAAACCTGCTGATTTCAAACATGCTATCTTTTAGATCTTTTGAAAGACTGAGTGGAGTGACTGTTTTTTCTCAAATACTTTTAAGGTCTCCCCAAGCAAAGCTGAAGCCAAAAGTGATTCTGAAGACAAGGTAGGGCAGGTTCCTTGTTCAATTACTGGCCAGTAGATGTTTTTGAGACAGCCATTTCCTCTTCATTGTGTTGTTTTTTCAGCAATTGATGTCATTTGAAGTAATTAAAAATATTTTTCCCCTGAATAAATTTAAAAGGAAGATGAGAATAAACAGTGCAGTTATTCATATCTGTTAGAATCAAAATCTGAACTGTTGCATTTTCTGCAAGCTTGATGATGACTTGATAATGCTCTTGTTGTTGCTCTGACTTGTCCTTGATCTAAAACTTCAAGATCCCTGCAGTGAAAGCCTCTGGACTGCACAGAAAAACTCCATTTGCCCATAGAGCAGAAGTTTTTCTTGCACTGTGATAAGACACAAAGAAGAGAACCCTAAAAAGAACAATATAGATATAGATAAAAGAAACATATAGATATTAAGTAGCCAAAATCACTGAGCATCATCATTTTTTTCTCTCCTATTTTTCTATCCTTTTGTCCCCGTCAAATTTTGATAAAACCTGGTACTGAAATGATTGGTTTCTGCAGAAAGCTTCGTGAGGATATTTGGGGGGGGAGGGGGTATACATCACTCCCCAACTGTAGCTCAGTAACTCTGAAATAACTCCAAAAATCGTCAGCCAGGGCTAAGGTCTTCCAAGACATCCAGAAAATGCAGTTCTCAAACTGCCCTGGCTCAGTGGGACCTGCAACTCTTTCAACAACTGTGAAAAATCCGGTTGCTCAGTCCCGTTGACATACCTGGCTTTATCATGTGCTGCTGGAACAGGTGACTCCTGGTGCTGGGGTGCTGTAATTTGGAAACAAATATGCTGTTTGGGTTTGGTCTGTTATCGCACTGGGAGGGTAAACAAGCCCAGATGACTAGCAGGATATGCAAACTCATTATGCAGAGGTTAAGTGGGAGTTCTCTTCTACCAGGAATTCCTTTATCTTCATGATCTTCCTGATCTGACATTTTCACTTTATTAAAGGCAAAATAAAAATGTTAATTTATCAGTTTTCACGTAGAAAAGCTACAGATCTTTTCAGCTGATAGGAAATAATTGTAATTTTTTCCCTGAGAAATAGCTTGTGTCTTAATAGTAAAGATGTGTTTTCCCCTCGGAGAAGTCTGAGCCTCTCCCAAGTGCTGTGGGGCTCTCAGGTGGCTGCTGTGCTTTTGAGTCATAGAATATCCTGAGCTGGGTCTCACAAGGTTCATCCAGCTCCAACTCCTGGCCCTGAACAGACACCTCAACAATCCCACCCTGTCCCTGAGAGTGTTGTCCAAATGTTCCTTGAGCTCTGGCAGCCTTGGGGCCCTGAACACTGCCCTGGGGAGCCTGTTCAGTGCCAGCCACCCTCTGGGGCAAGAACCTTTGCTTTTTGCAGCGTTGTGCTGCCAGCAGGGATGTCTGTGGCTCTAATCAGCTGGACGAACCCATGTGTGCTTCCATCAGCCTGGGCACACCCTTAATGACTGTCACTTCATCGGTGTAAACACTGAGTGAGATTGGAGTCACACTTCCCTGGGAGAGCTGATCCTTTGCAAGTTCAAACAAACCAAGAGGGTGTTCTGAGATCTGCCCCAGATCACTGATTTGAGCCTTCTGTATCAGACCATGAGTAGTTCCCATCTTGCTCTGCATTTGGGAATTATGAGAATTTTGCAGGATACTGCAGGAAAAAACCAGCCAGTTTCCATGTGACTGGTCACAGCTGCTTCACAGCACAAAGCTTTGGCAGAATTGGTGACTGCACTGCAGGACACAACCTGGAGACCAGGATCTCAACTTCACGTGCTCATATGTGTCACATTCTGTATCCTGGACCTTTCCTCCCACCCTGTTAGTTAAACAACCCTAATATTTGTCCCTGCACAGGGCAGCCCAAGAGGCACATAGCTGGGATTGTTGGGATGTCCTGTACAGGGCCAGGAGTTGGACTCTGATAATCCTTGTGGGTCCCTTCCAGCTCAGGATGTTCTATGATTCACATTGTAAACACTGTAGGCTGATTCTTTCTTTGGAATTTGGGTCTCTTCATGCTTTCATAGTTCCTGGAAAGTTTTGTCAACTCATTTTCAAGTTTTTTGCTGGTTCGAAGCTTTTTACTTCTTAATTCTTTTGCCTTGTTGAACTGTAACAGAAAAAAGAAGCTTGCAAAGGGACAAGCTAGTTACCTTGGGTCAACAATTGAAGTCTCAGCCTTTGTTGGATTTCAGTTTCAATTTAATGGAGATTTTAGAGGGGAAATTGGGGTTTAATTTGTCTTAGCTTTTATTTCTCTCCTCATGTGAAAGTTTAAGGAGAGCTGAGTAATCATTCAGAAGGAAAAAAATAAAAGAAAGCCCCAGGACTTGTTGTCCAGGGCAAAAAGGAGATGTTTACCTTTAATACCACGTGTGTGAGTGTTTGAATGTCTTTCATGAACCAAATAACGTTGCAACAAGTGCTCAACTGCCACTGGTGTTGTACAAAGGGCTCGAGAGCAGAGAAGGGCCATGGTGGGCAACCCTCTCCGAAGGCAGAATCCCCAACCAAAGGAGCCAAGAAAAAGAAGGCAGAGAGTCCCAAGCTGGGACACAGCACATTTAGTAAACTCTTTAGGCACAAGGTTGGTATGAACCTGGAGCAGGAGCAGAGCTCTGAGCGGTAACAGATGGCTCCTGTCAGAGAGAGGAGTTGTTTAATTGGTGACTCCAATCAGCATCTGGCCAGATGTGCAGTGCTCTGGGACTGCTGTGTGAGCATTCCTGGACTGTTCCTCTCATTGGGCCATCTGTGAGCTCAGGGTTCTGAAACAACTCCTCTCACCCTCCCTGCTCTGTGATTCCCTGTTACTAACCCTGACTAAACCTCCCTGGCCACTACAAATAAAATCCAAGGTGCTGACAAACAATGAATTATGTAAATATGAACAGAGCCTGCAAATGTAGAGCAGGCTGCAGGGCTCAATCCAGCTACACCTCAGGCTTTGTGATCATTAGCAGGCACCATCATGTGGCTAAAATTGGTGAATTGGGCCATCTGGTACAGCACAGAGAAGGTTGGAACATGGAATTTCTTTCAGAAATATGTATTTCTCACTGAAAACAAGAAAAGTAATTGTTGATTGCAGTCCAAGTTTAGTCTGAAGGGAAAAAATCTGGTTTTGAAGGGTACTTTAAAGTGTTTAAAATACGCATTCAATCAAAGGGTTGTTTCAGAGGATCAAAAATAACTGAAAACTTTTGGTTTCAAGCTCTGTATTTGGGGATTTCTGCAGTCTCTGAAGATAATCTACCATGGTGCTCCATGGCAGAAAAGCAGAGAATTGTAGCTTTTTAGCCCAAAGAATGCAGGAGCAGAGACCCTTTCACTGGGGGAGGCAAGTAATTAATATTTAATGCTCACTCAAGACACCCACATGGAATTTCTGGTGAGTAGGGGGCTTTATAGTCAAGGGCCCAAGTCAAAGGGAGTTCTTTAACACATTTTCAACACAGAAATGTTCTTTCCATGTCACATTGTTGAGATCAGTCATCTGCACGTTACTGAAGGAATAATAATATTCCCAATGGTTTAAAGTCTGCAATTCTTGTCAGCAGCTTAAAGTTAAGATCTCATATCATAAGTACTATGTTAATAGCTAATAGTTTTGGTATTTATTACAGTGAAAATATTAATTACTTGTTCATAATGAGTTAGGGCTTCCTGGTAAAAACCAAACCTGTCTAGCATTTTATAAGACCCTTCTGCAACAATGCAAAAATCTTGCAGTGAATTGTAGGGAGAGATGATTGGCTTTCATTGGAATATTTAATGGAACTTTAAAAAGTTATGGTCTGGAATGACAGCAGTTATCTTTAAGGGAAGCAATAGCATTAAATTTTTACACCAATAAAATCTGTCTTATAAAATGTCATTACTTTTAAAACAGCTTTTTCTTGTTTCCAAATTTATTTTCACAGTTTCCTTTCCACATACAAAATGCAGAAGCAATAGCTGAGAGAGCATTTATAGTGTATTAAGAGTAAAGGGGATGGATTAAAATGGTGCCAACAGTTTGCTTGTGAGGCTGATTGAAAGTGGCAATTCAGATTGGAGCAGTCAAGTGACAAAAAACCCTATAGTTTGTATCTTTTCCTCTGAAATGCCTTACCATGATGTGTGAACTAAATCTCCAGGTAACAAATTCCTTTATCTGAAATGATAATTTTAATGTATTTATTCATATTTAGTTTTGAGCACTTCACTGTCTCCTCTGAAAGTTTTCTCTGCAAGTCTTCCAAAATAAACAGCTCTGTATATTAATTAAGATTAGTTTGACTATTAGCTTTAACAGAAACATTGTTTTTCAGTCTCCTGTTATGTGAATACTAACTTGAAAGCAACTCCTGAATGTTGTTTTCCAACAGTGATGCACATGCTGATATAAACCCCTAACACAGTGTGACTTGTCCGTTTGACCTCAGACTGAGTTTGGGTGGCATTCCACAGCTGGTCCCTGTCTGCCCTTTCATTCCCATCCCTGTGTACTTGCCTTGCATTTCATGCCAGTTTTGCAGTATCACTGTGCTCATTTATGGGGCTTTTCCTTGGAAGAGAAGGGTTGATCACTTTGAGCACTAGTGCTGAAGCCAGTCCAGGGTATTATGCTTGTTCTTCCCACTTGCTCAGGGTTCTGTTCATCAGAGCTGATCACAAAAAAGATCCTGGCTCCTGCAGAATAACTCTCACCTGCTGTCTCAAGAAATCCCCAAAACCCAGGGGTGCTGGGCTCAGTTTATGGCTGGCTGATGTTTTATGTACAACTCAGGTAACTGCTGGGTGTGAGGGCTGAGAGAGTGCTGTATCACTGACCAAGGAGGGATTTCCTCCTGGATTTGTGTGTTTCAAGAAAACCAGGAGATGCAGGTCTGAGGAGGAGGTTTTTACAAAAGGGAGCCTGCAAGGAAGATGGAGAGACTTTTTACGAGAGCACAGAGTTGACAGGACAAGGGGGAATGGCTGACAAAGAGTAGGTTTAGATGGGATATTGGGAAGAAATCCTTTTCTGTGAGGCTGTTGAGGCCCTGCCACAGGTTATCCAGAGCAACTGTGACTGCCCCATCCCTGGAAGTGTCCAAGACCAGGTTGGACAGAGCTTGGATCAATCTGGGATAGTGAAAGGTGTCCCTGCCCATGGTAGGGGACTATAATGTCCCTTCCAACCTAGGCCACCCTATGGTTATATGAAAAGAGTAAATCCCAGCCAGTGCCCAAAAGCATGAGAGGATGAGTTAAACCAACCTGCAGCACCTGCAGAGCTTCTCCTCGTGGAGCTGCAACTCTGCTCCTGAGTTACAAAGCCATGGCTGTTCTGTGCCCTTGCTTTCCAGGCTGTCATTTGCCTGTGTTTTATATCCCAGAAAGTGAAGTTCCCCACTTTGAAGATGACAAGAGCACATCCCTGACTGGTGTGTGGCTCCCCCCATGGAAAACACCCAGCTCTGGTGTGTAAATGTACACTGGAAGCTGCACACACAGACCTTGTGCAGAAAAATCTCTGCTAATACCTTCAAACCCTGTGTAATGTGTTACCTGGACAGAATGGGAATATATATGGGAATGCAGATATAAATACACCTATTTTTAAAGAACAGGTTGAGGACTGCAAGCACAGCAACATGAGCACAAAGCAGTGCAGGTAGAAGGATGGGACCTGGCAGTGCCTCTGGAAGCCTCTCCTCAGCCTGGGATCAGTTTCCATGGCTGCAGGAGCCAGGACTTTCACCAGTGTTCACTAAAAATAAAATAATTTGTCACACAGACAATTCCTGAACTGTGAGCACTGACATTGCCTCAGACAGACTTGTCTTTGTGTTTTCTTTCCCTTCAGGCTGCAAAAGAGACCCAACAGACAACCAACACCAAAGTGAGTAGGATGGCTGGAGCTATCTGTGTGAATAATGTGGGCAAAGGGGAATTATTCTCACTGTCTTCCTTAGTCTGTCAGACAGTGTTTTAATTCCTTTATCAGTTACTCCTCTCTGTGAAGGGTGGGATGCTGTGCCATTTACTTCCTCTGTTCAAGATGTTGCTTGATTTGAAGTGGCAGAGATGCACCTTGCTACCCGTGTGACCTGTGCAGTGGTGCTCACCTGGACCAGGTGATGCCCAAAAACACTCTGGGTATTTTGTTCTCCACAATAACCTGTGTCCCTATTTCTTTCAGAGCCCTGAGCAGCAGCCTGTTACCTCTGTAAAACCAGACAAAAATGTCCCTCCCTCCCAAGAGCCGCCGCCAGCGAAGCAGAACCCGAAGGTCCCCGAGGTTGCAGCCGCCCCTCAGGGAGCAGCCAGTGAAGCCCCCAGGGAGGGGATGAAGGAGAAACCATCAGCCACCCCCATGCCCCTGAGCAAGCTCTTCTGGAAAAAGGTATGGCTGGATTGTGGAGCTGCTCCATCTCCACGCAGGGAGTGGAGTCACTGCCAAGCACTGTTACAGCAAAGCGGTCAAACCTGCCCGGGAGAGCAGCTCCCATGTGCTAAACTTTATACACACATACACACCTGTGTCTTTGTCTCCTGGTTTCCTCAAAACACACAAATCCAGGGGAGGGATCCAGTTTGTTAAATCCTGTAATTTTTTATTCATGTGGAATAAGGAATGTTTTTCTCTGTCAGTTCAACGCTTTTGTTGAAAATCCCACAGAGATCACAGCATTCTTTACCAAATCATATCGTGAATAGGTAGATCTGTAAAAGCCCATCTCTCTTTTATACCCCATCTTTTGGAACTGTTTGCTTTAGTTCCAAATGTCTGAAAACCTTGAATCTGGTGGGTTTATTCTTACTCAGTAGAAAATGTTTCATGACTGAGCAGATCCAGTCTTTAGGTCTGGGCATTTAGTTGCTTGGGAAAACACATTGTTCCTCAAGTTAAATAATGGTTTTAACTAAAATTAGAGCTAACTCTGAAAACTGAGTGTTTCCATGATCCTCATGATTTATAAAGCTGAAGGTTTATTCTTTCCTTATTTCAGTTAAAAGAAGGGCTGTATTAAACTCTACTGAAACACTGTATGTCGAATAACTAGTTTTCTGGGCTTCTGTTCAAGTCCAAATCCCAGAAATTAACTGCTTCCAAACACCCAGATGCTGCTGAGTGGCCCTGCAGCTTCTTTAGCTTGAGCTGTGATTCTGGAGATACACTTTGAATGTGTTATTTATGTTTTTAAAAAAAAAATGTGTTTAGTAAATAGTAAATATGCATGAAAACAAACCAACCTTGAAACATTTGCTACTTGGCACTTAATTTCCTGGGGAACTCAGTGAATAGGTACTTGGAATGAGAAGGAAGTTAGGAAGAAAAGGGAGAGGGAGGGTTTTTTTATATAGTTATTGCTACAGAAATCTCCTGCTCTTAAGTAGTCTGGCTTATTTGAAAACAGAGCTGGGAAGCAGGATGTATGCTGAACATCAGGATGAAATAAGGGGAAAAAAAGAGGCCTTCTGGCAGACTGTTGTGTGTAGTTTCAGTGTAAAACAGAGTAATAAACTTGGTCTGAATTCAGTAATTTCATTATGAAGTAATACAGTCTTTTAAAGAAGAAAAAACATGTAGGAAAGGAAGATTTTCTTGCCGAAAAATAGGGAAAATCACTCATTTGGGGGAGAAATTGGTGGTGGTGGTTTAAAAAAAAATAATCTGGTAAGATTTTGGTAAAATTTCCAAATCTTATTTTGAAATATTAACCCAAATTAAAGTAGTTATTGATACCCACAGTGAACACCAGCTCTCCATATCCCATGTTAGAGCTAAATTAGCTCTTGGTTCCTGCCCTGGGCTGCTTTAACTTTGTAACAATCTTCAAGTGAAGTCCTGGGATTTCAAGCCTCTCAGGGGTACAAACCTTGTCCCAAAATTCTTTCACTCCTGTAAGTTGATAATGCTGCATTTTTTTTATCCCACACCATCACCATCTGCTTACCAGAACAGAAAGTTTTGCAGAGAATTCTCTACAAGCAGATTTTTGTTGCTGCCAAAAATATTAAGGACTGGTTAAAACAGTTACACAAATGCACTGAATTACAATAGTATGTGAAACCTGAACTCTGAAAAATGAGCCTGGTTTTGCTTAGTTAGAACTTCTCGGGTCTTGAATCATGCTGACACTAAAGTTTCTGCAAGTTTTCTGGGGTGAATTTCTGCAATAGAGAACTGGATTTGGTCCTAAGAATTTACAAAAAATCTGCCTCTTTGAGCACTGAATCCTTAGCTGTAAAAGGCTCGTGTTTCCTTACTGAGATTTCTTGACAGAGAATAATATTTCCATTGATGAAAGCCCTTGGTGACCCAGTCAGTTTGAAGCTAAAAAAAAAAAATGAGAGTAGAGGTACCAAAAAAATAAAGTCCTTAGTCTACAGTTAGGTTCAAACTCAGCTTGGTTTGAAGAACCTGTGGGATGTTTTTCTGCAGTGATTTTATCCTTCTGGCACACTCAGTGCACTGTCCTTTTGCTGGGACAGAGAATCAAAGCTGGTAACTGTCCCAAGAGGTGTACAGTTCAGCATGGTTAGTTTTCCTTTTGAACTAACAAACAGCAAGCACAACACTCAAAAGATCCAGGACTGGGATCCAGCTTCTCCCTTTCCAGGCAGTCTCTTAAATGTCCACCTTCTGATGAGCTTTCACTTCAAAGTGAAGCTAATGAAGTGCCTGTCAACACATTGCAGTTGATGCTGCTGCTCTGACTGCAGATGAATAAATATGGAAAGGGAAAAGGAAAAATTCCTTATTCAGCTTCTCAGCTGGGAACCACTTTGTATTTGCTCCATTTCCTGATCGGTCTGCACAAGAATTTTTGTAACTGCTACTCAAATGTTTGTCATGCCAGCATTTCTTTTCTAATAAGGAATACTGATAGAAAACTACAGGTAATGATTTCCAATACTTGTGTTGGAAAGCTGGTTTTAAGGCCTGTGTAGGTATTTCATCAGGGCAGAGGAACATGATGCTTTGTATTTACCTGATCAAAGCAGGCCAGTAAATGGTGGAAGGTGATCAAACCAGCATTATTTGGATTGCTCTGTGAACTATCTTTAGAAGCAGATAGATTTATTTAAGAAACTAGACTTTTAAACTGTTGCTTCTCTTCTGTCAAACAACTGCAGAAAAATCATGCTCTTTTTACTGAGGGGTATTTCTGTGCTGATACACAAACAGCAAAATGTTTTTTTGCTGTTGGGTGAAGGAGAACAGAGTCCCAGAAGGGTTTGGGCTGGAAGGGACCTTAAAGACAACCCAGCTCCATCCCCTGCCATGGGCAGGGACACCTACCACTAGACCAGGTTGCTCCAAGCCCCATCCAACGTGGCCTTGAACACTTCCAATCTTCTCAACAACTTCATGGCCTCCTCTGGACTTGCTCCCATTGTTTCATGTCCAATCTCACCTTTATTTCTGAGCTTGCAATTGTGTTCCATCATAGGAAAGCAAAAAGGGTGGAGTGTGTGAGGCAAATGTTAAAACTACCCAGGGCTTACCAAGTTCCTGCAGCAGTTTATGTGCTCCCATCCTGGAATATCCACCATCCACCATGTGGAAGAGGAGTAGATCCTGGCTGGGTTTTGCTGACTAACTGGATGAAGGCACTTGGAAGAGAATTCCCCCATGGCTGAGGGAGTGAGGGGGGCAATGAGGTTTGGGGACTGTTTCAGCAGCTGGTACAGCTGCCACCCTCAGAGCAGTGCCACGGACCTTGACCTCCCCAGCCCAGGGATTTAGGGGTCAGATCCCACTCCTGGGCTGTCCAGACCTGTGTGGTGTCAGTGGTTCATAGTCTGAGCTGTCACAGCCCAAGATCTGCTCAGTGGCACCTTCAGGCAGTGGTTGTAGGTCCCAGGGGCTTTGGAGGGAGGTCCAAGCATGGTGAGAGCTAAAGCTGAGCTGCCTTAACTGCAGCAACCTCTGGTGGCTTTGCCTTGGCCAGGGAGGGCAGGAAGGTGGGTTCAAGTCTCTCCAACCCTCCCTGCTCCCTGCCTGTGAGCCTGGAGCAGATCTCAAGCCTGACTGCCCTTTTAAGTGGAAATTTCTTGAACAAAAGGTCATCTTGTATACGTTGTTAAGATAAAAGAGCTGCTTCATAAGGAAGGTATGACCCAGGGAAAGCAGAAGAAGTGCTCCTTGTGTCTAAAGAAATGCAGTGGGGAGTGCCAGCCCAGACTGCAGCACGAGATCAAAGCAGGGTGCAGTGTTTATCTCAATTTGGAGGAAAGATGCGCCAGCCAAAGGAAAACTCCAAGTTATCCAGGTCACAAAATAAGTTACACTCTCATAAGGTAACAATTTGTGTGCTCAGGAACCCAGATAAGAAAATGGTGTAGTAATAGTTCCCAAAACAACAGGAGGGTTTGTAAGAACCCTCAGAGTAGACACAAACTTCCCAGCACAAGTGTTTTAAAAAGCTTATTACTGAAAGAAAATGAGGGACACTGTAATTTAAGGGAATAAAAAAATGCTTTCCAAACAGTGAAATAAAGAGCACAGTAAAATACTGTCATAAAACACAGTTAGCAAAGATAAGCTAGAATATTATTTTGAAAAAGAAAGTAAAGGCTGCTCTGTAACAGGAAGAACAAAGGATGGAGCTCATCTTACTTCAAACAAACATATCTTGAAATGTTTCCTAAGTTTGGCAGAGTGCCTTTAACAAAAGAAAAATAAAATAACCCAACAGCCCTTCTGTCCCCATGGTGCATAACTGCACTAGCTGCTGACTTAGACTGAATTTATTAAAATTTGTGTTTGAGGAAGCTGGAGGCAGAATTTGGACCCGTGAATGCAGCAGCCTCAGCTGCTGCAGTTTATAGGTATAAGGAGAGAACTTTTATGAGAACATTTATGCATCAAAGCTGATAGAGCCAGGCTGTTTGCAAATTATTATTATATATAAATTGGAGTTTCTTCCTAAAACTGGTCACAAAACTTGACATCACTTTTGTTTTTCTCTTAAGTGAAGTAAAGAAGCTGAGCCTGTGGTTCTAGGGAACAGTTAATGTAACATCATTCAAAGTTTATTGACTTCAGCTTTGTCAGGCTCTTCCTATTTCACTCTCAGTTCCTGCCAGAAACACCTTGGTGACTTCCTTGAATGTACCAAATGGAAATTGTTCTTCAAGTTTCTTAGGGGGAACAGGAACAAAAATTAAAAATTCTTCTTAATTATGTTAGAGAACCTTTGGTGGAAGGGGTTTTGTCATAAGTCTCCATTTACCACCTCAATCAGCTTTGAGAAGAGGACTTTGTGATGTGTCTGGAGTTTCCTCTTGGCCCAGCATGTCTGAAATAACCTGATGTGATTGCCCAACTTATTTACAGGTTTTACTCGAGTGTCATCTTTTCAGGATACATAGTGCTGTATGTAATTTCATTTAAATTTTCTTTTCAAATTGTGATTAAGTCTAGATTCTTGTGCTTGGGAACTGGTACTGCAACACAAGAAAGGCTGTTTCTTCAATTTATATAAGCTGGTGGGATTTAAACACTTATTTACTTTTTTTGGGATGAATCAAGTTCCTGAAGCAACATGCAGAGATCAGTGGAGATGAGGATGCTTTATAGCCACGTTTGTTCCTGATGTACCAAGTTACTGCAGTGCTGTAGCACTTTGTAACCTCTTTAAAAACCCCAAGCAAATCCTCACTGATTGAGTGGGAATGTTTTTTTCCCCTTTTTTTCACCTTTCCCAACCCCAGAACTCATCGGAGGAAGCAGAGGCCGTGAGCAATGAGAAAACAGAGGCGTCTTTCGAAGCGGTGGCTCCCGACAGGGACGAGAGCAAGAGCCCGGAGGGCTCAGAGGTGAAACCCCGAGCAGCGGAAAGCAAAACGCCCAAGGCGAACCTGAGGAAGTTTTTCAAGCTGGTAAGCGAAGCGCTGCCGGGATGGGGGCGATTCTTGGGAAATCCTGCGCCCGGGCGGGCAGAGCGTGACCCCCCTCCCCGCGATTCCCCGTCCTGCATCTCCCTCTCGCGGCTCCTCCCGGAACGTTCCGCGGTCCCTTCCCCGCCTGCCCGGGGCTGCCGTGGCCTTTTCCCTGCTCCGGGTGGCCCAGGGAGCTCTGGGGGTTGAGCCACTGAATGAGCCTCAGCTCCACCAGCCGCTTCCCCCCGGATGATGCTCTGGGAGGATCCCATCTCCAAATCCATCTCCCGTTCCTCCAGCATCCCTGCCTGGTGCTGATTCCTGCACTTGCTTCAGGGAGTTGCATTTTTAGGAGCTCAACATTTTTTGGCAGCTTATGTAGGTTAGCTAGACTGGCATGTGAAAGGATGATGTTGTTGCTGCAAAGGTCTGTTATGTGGAAAAAAAGAAAGGCATAAAGTAGAATCTAATCCTTCTTCCCAGAAGACCAGAGGGAAGAAGGAGACCACTGAGGTGATCAAGTGCCTGGTGTTGTGTTGTGGCTGTAGGTGTGAAATTATCCCGATGGATTTGTGTACAAACAGCCAGACAATATTTCTTAAAAGAGTCCAGAAGAGTGGCCAAGAAAGAAAATAATCCAAGTCTAGAAATAACACGTCTCTCATTAAAATCGTAGCAGGCCTCGAGGATTTATATGGCAATCGATCTATTTTGGCAAGGTTTACAAATGCATATGGAAGATTTCTATTTCTAGTCAGTGCTGGTTTATTTTCAGGCAGCTACATGGTGTGGATATCAGAGTAGCTTAAACATTAAAATGTGAAAAATGTAGTTTCTTTTAAGCTGATGTAGTGGCCAGCCCAGGTATCTGCCCACAGGTGAACGCCTGGTACATACCTGTGAACAGTCACAGTGTCACAGGTTAAAATTCATGACTCAGACTGTAGGAGTGCACACCACAACCCAAATCTTGATTTAATTTTTTATTTCCAAAACACTAGCAATTCTTTTATTCTCAGCTGTTTGCTGGCCTCAGCCCAACCTGTGATGGGTTAATCTAGATTTTGTTCTTGGGAGATGATTTACTGCAGGGCCACTCCTGTGTATTCGAGGATCCGAGCAAAAAATTCTTGATATCAACCAGTAATTGTGCACCCAACATGCTTTTAGTTCCACATAAGACTTCATAAAATCAGTCAGTTTGGAAAAATCTCCAGCTTATTCCTAAATCCAAGGGAACTTGTGGTTATCCTGCATAGAGGCCTGTCAGTGGCACAGGGTGGGCATGCAAAAGGGGAGTCAGGAGCAATGCGTATCAAACACGAACAGCTGTGGGGATCATGACTTCAGATTATGTCACTCTACCAAAAAAATAGCACCCATTAAAAAAATAAAGCTGTTCCACACCCATCTTAGTCACCATGGAATAAAACAAAGCTGTGTTAAAAGCAGTAGATGTATCACTGCTCTAATCAGAGCAAGGATTTAATCCAGATTTTGGCCTAGAAAACAGAACTAGTACTAGAGAAACATTTACCTATGGGGAAAGAGGATTGTATTAATGGTGTTAGTGGTTTTGCAGCTTTTTGGAACCTTCAGTATTCACCTTCTCTACTTTTGGCTATCGATTTCCAAACAGATTGAGGATTATTTTAATATCTGTTTTATCCCTGAAGATTCCTGGGCTGTTTCCTCTCAATAACTTTGGGATTCCTGGATCACTTCCATGCTGTTGTGCACAATCAGCTGCCCAACAGCTTTGTGCCAGCTGCTCAATCAGGATTTCTGATTCTGAAGGCAGACACAAGGATTTTAAGCCACTGCTAAACAAGCACCTTCTGTAAAGCTTTTGAACTAGTGTTGCACATGGGTGAAATGTCTGAAATTCCAACACAGGCTTGATTTTTCTCACAAGGAAAAGGCAGGGGAGCTCCAGTGCTGTGCAGAGCTGAGATGAACCTTGTAGAGATGTCTAATAGGGCTTTTTGCTCAGCAGAGCTGCACTGGCAGAGTGGAAGGTGTAATTTCCACTCAGAAAAGGCTTCTACTGTAGTTTTCTCCTGAGGTCTGGCTGCCCTACAGGAGTAACCATAAAGTGGAGGGAGAAATTGTTCCCTGTGAGGGTGGGGAGGCCCTGGCACAGGTTGCCCAGAGAAGCTGTGGCTGCCCCATCCCTGGAAGTGTCCAAGGCCAGGCTGGACTGAGCTTGGAGCGACCTGGGATAGTGGGAGGTTGTTAGAGCAATAATCTCTCTCATGAGAGGTTGACTTTTAATTTTATATTAATATGATTCTTTACTGGGTTTCTCTTCTGCCTGCAGAGGAAGATCCCAAGGTATTCTCACAACATCCACAGTTATGTTACACACATCACCCACCAGGGGCCCAAGGAAAGTTAGTTTAGCATTTTAGGATTCAAGACTGAGACCTAGAAATTAAGATTAATTCTATCGCAGTCTATTGTGAACCTCTAACAGGCAAGTCAGTTATTTTCCAGATGCATCAATTTTGACATTATTCTGCTCAGAAAGCCCAAGCACGGGGTGATAGCAAGGAGACATTTAGATCCATCGTGCTGTAATTGCTGCTGTTGACACAAGGAGAAGCCACTGGGAGAACCAGGAGGAATTTCCCTTGGAAAAGGCAGAGTGTATCCCAAAAACTGCCTACTGAGTAGCTCAGTACAGATGTCCCTTCTTATTTGTGCTGAGTTATTTGCACTTGCAAATGTCTCAAAAGCCAGTGCTGTGTTTAAAATAGGAGAGGGTTAATTAATGCTTTAAAAGCTATTGGGAAATTATAGTGAAATAAAGTATTAGTCTAAATCCTTGGAATTTAATAAGAGATGAAGAAAGAGCACTGCTCTTTTATCAAAGCAATACACCTGTGTGGATTTGAAATCCAGCTGAAAGTCACTCCAGCCTCATTAATCAAAAACCAAGCAGTTATTGTATTATTTCCAGGGTGGGATATATCAGAGCCAATGAAGGTGTCCTGAGATGTTACACCTGAGTTAATCAGTCCAGGTCCCCTTTGAAGGCACCAAGTGGAGGTTGGGCAGGTCTGAGAGCCCCTTAGGACACATCAGATGATGTGAGCCCTGAAAGTCTCTGCATGGGATATAAACAGGTGCAGAGATAAATTAGATAAATCCTTTCAAAATGGCTGGTTTGAGATACTTTGTGGAGATAAGAAGGGCGTAAAATGGCATTTTTAATCAGAATGAGATAATTACCAACTGGAAACTGAGGCTGCAGTTTTGTCCTCAGCCAGGAAGTTTATTGGCAGCATGAATGGTCTAGGATAGTGTTGAGTATGGATGTTCCCAAGGAGAGTTTATCTTTCTGGAATAACTAAATATTGTTTCCACATTGTCTGCTGTGTCTGTGCTGACCTACTTCCCCATGTAAATAAACTTTTAGGTAACAAATAGTGTTTGGAATCAAGAATAACTCTTTTATGCTGTCACAATTTATCTTTTCCTCATTATTCTCGAAATGTAGCAAGTGTGTTGGATGTCCCCACCTCCCTCCATTTAAAGAAATGCTGATCCACCCCTTATTGCCACAGAAAGCAGGGGTTTTTTTTGGGAAGCTCTGGGCAGCAGCAATCTTAAGTGACCAAAGGCAAGGATAAGAGGTCAGCAGTGCTGGAGAGAAATCCTTGGGATTGCGTCTCACTGACGACAAGAGGGAACTTTGTCTAGACTTCAAGGTCTTTACTCTGTTATTTTTGGTTAAAAAAAATAATAAATAATGAGGAAAAAACAGATAGATGGATTACTAGATGTTGGCTAAAGCAGGGCTATTTTTTTCTGGGTTTGGGGTGTTTATGGTGGGAAAAGGTAACAGTGATGGCTGTTACAGCATAAAGACTTGCTGCAATGCAAATGCAAACTAGATCTTATCACAGCACATCTTTGTACACTCTGGACTGAGTTTCTCTCCAGCAGTGTAAAGACAGACCACGTTGTGCTTCCTCCCCTCTATTTCTGCAATCTCTTGCACAGATAAAGCGTCACGAGCACAAACACAGGAGGCAGAGCAACAACGTGTTCCAGAGAGAGAATTTTTCCCACAAAAGTAATGAATTGTCACGCAGTGGTTTGAGTTTCTGTCCTGCTGCTGGCACATATTGATTTTCTGCGGTTTTATAGGAAAATCAGGGACTGAAATAGGTCCTTGCAATAACACCATTTGTAGGATGGAGCTGACACTGTTGTGCTTCGAGTTACAAATCTACAAGCTGCAGAAAACCACAATTCCGCCTGATCTATCTTTAGAACAAAAGTCACATCCTTTCATTGTTTTCATTGAACTTAGGCAATGAAAAATGACATTTAAATTTGGGCTCTTTGAAATTCTGGAGTTTATTTTACGCTTTGCTGCTGAGCTCTGTGGCTTGTACGGCACTCAGGGGAATACCACAGAACACGGTTCTTAATTACAAATGTACACACCACTCCTGTTCTTTTTGTAGCACTAATTGTAACTAAACCTTAATTTAACTGCCTCAAAGCTTGTAATATGTACCCATTGAGCTGCTTTTGTCAAATAGGGTTTTCTAATTTTTAAAGCTAAATGGAAACAGGGGATTGTACCTTAAAAAAAGGTATTCCAGAGTCAAGGTTTGCTCTGAGTGACCTCTCAGTGCTGCAGCCTCAGGGTCTTCTTGGATTGGGAAGAGTGGGCACCAAGGAGGACTGCAGGCACAAACTGGGAAGCAAAAATTGGGAATGAATGGATGCTGATGATGAATTATAAAAATATACCTATAGAGCTGAGTGGGTTTTAATTATTCACAGGGCAAGCACTTAGTGGGATGGTTGGGTAGAGAGGAAGTCCCACTAGATCTGGTAAGACAGATTTGGCTCTGCAAAGCAAAAAAGCTCTTTCCTAGAAAACTACAGTGGCAGGGCTGATAGCACTGTCTTGTTTAGTACTGATATGATCTCAGGCCACTGAGATCTCACTCATGTTTCTCATTTTTCTTAATGGGAAAATTGACTTGCAAGAAACAGTCTCACAATAAAAAAACCAGCAAAATGTACTTTGGGGTTATGGGTATTTCAGAAAGGTTGGAGTTTCTGAAGTGTCTGGTTTTGTTTTAATGTTGTGAAGAGTGGCCTTAAATCAAACCTTTATTCATGTGTGTCTTCTGAGTGAATGAACCCTGTTAGAAGTCCTGTAACCCTTTGTTATTTTAGTCAGTCAAGGGTGATGGAGGGACAGCCAGTTCCGAAGTGGTAAATGGCCCCAGTCACCATGTAAGTGCCTGGATTTTTTCATCTTTTGGTGATGGGTTCTTGCCACCTCCTTCCATACAACTCTACCTTTTGAAATGTAAAAATCACTGAGAGAAAAGTGCTCCATGCTCGCTAATTTCTTTCCTTATCTATTTATTTAATCCATTCATGCAGTTAAACAAGATTTTAAAGGGTTACTATTAGATGTTTAAAAAGCAACAAACTTTTTTCCATGTCTGTTCCTTTTCTTAAATTAATTAGTGAGTTTATGATCAGTTTTATTCCTCTCTCTGGCTGCTATTTTACCTTCTGCATGTAGCTTGGCTCAGGCGGTGAAACTAAATACACACAGCTAGAATTATTTTTACTTTGTTGATTTACATGTCTTCTGAGGAGAAGATCATTTAGGTGCAAACTCTGTAAAAGAGAAATGAAAGTGAGAATGAAAACTGTTTGCTGCAATTTAACAAGAGCCGGGGTAGTATTTTTTTCTTATTCCATTTTTGTTTCTTTCATTCTCTGTTCATAAAAGCTAACCCAAAACCTTCGTGTGACATTTACATTATATTCTGCATGACTTTAAAATGTTTCAGAAAAATTCTATTTTCATTAGAAATACAAATACTGTTACCTTGTGTGAGAGCAAAACCCTCAGCTGTTGCAAGGCAAGATACCCAGAAGAATTACTTTGAGTAATCTTTCAGTAATCAGAGATAAAACAAAGCTCTGTGTATGGCCAGTGTTTCCTTTAAGAGAAAAACTGAAGTTGTATTAAAAACTGACACTTCAGAATTTCCTTTTTTAATTAACAGTAAAACTATTTCTCACGCTTCCTATTTTCATGATGTCCTATGACACGAAGGTTAATCTTTATGAATTAGTCACTAAAAGCGTCCCAAATACAGAAGTCTTGTCTTGTGACATTTGCTCCTTATTTCATACAACAGTTTTGTGAAGTGATCTGGGTAAAACAGTGAAAGATATAGTCCTGGATCCACTTTTTATTATTTTAATTAGCAGTCAGTTGCCTTCCATTTTTTTAAACCACCGTATCATTCTTCCTCCTTCTCTACCCTTGCCCTGATGTAAATTTAGAACAGTTTCATTACACAGAAAAGCCCAGTGAAAACTGAATCTGCTGTTGGCTTTTTGGGGGGATTTCTGTGAAAGGATCTCTTTAAATCATGCCATTGTATACCTGGAATGCTGTGTTTCTTCTCCACTTTCCATCACTGCCATTCTGAATGCTACAGAAATTTATTGCAGCACTGACACAAAATCTGCAGAAATTTCAGAGTCTGCCTTTTCCACTTAAAAATCAGCCTTGGATTAAGGTCTCCTGTAACATGATGGGGAAAATACTCTCCTGTTCATCTTTTCTTTTTCTATTTCAGTGGCACTGTCAATGTTGAGAGAGGAAAGCAATCTGTCAGGTGCAGCTCACCCTTTAGAATAAGAAACATTAACATGTTTCATTATTCATAGGCTTCACTTCATATTTCCTGAGCTGCTCCCATCAATATCAAATATGCCAATTTCCTGCCTTTCAAGGTTAATATGAAACACCTCAAAGAGATTATCTGATAGGATTCTCCCCCCCCCCCCCTCTTATTTTGCCTGGAAAATGTATGATGAATATTTTTAAAGAGTGTTTTGTTTGACTAACATCAAAGGCCCAACCTGCCCATAGAAACAATCCTGTTGCATCCCACTCGGATTTGGCTCAGTACTGAGCAACCGAGCACGTGTGGTGAGGAAGACTCTAATTTTTACACCCACAGATTTCACAGAGTGTTCATAAGGGTCAGAGGTTGTTGTGGCACCTCTGAACTCAGAGGTATCCAGTCCCAGAGCCGTATTCAGTCTCACAGATGTATTTTGGGTGCTGTGGTTGTTTTTGAACTGAACGTGCACGTTTGCAACTGCACCGAAGAAACGTTTCGAAAGCGAACTGAGACAGATAAGAGTAAGAAGGGGCAGCAGCTGAGAGCTCCTGGACTGAGAGTTGAACTGAGTCAGACGGATAGAGACACAATTAAATCTGACTTTCTGTTCATCCTCGTGCTGGGAAAGCTCCTGCATCACTTGAGCCACTCAAAAGTGCATCTGAGCAGGTTTCTTTTCTCAGGTGAGGTGAAGAAGACACAGGTAGAGTGTGGTGTCTGTGCAGCCTCACCAGACAGTTTTCCTTTATTCTGAACTATTGAATTTGCTTTAATAACGTAGTGACACTCAGGTGGTGTGTGAGGTCACTGATCATCTTCATGGCTTCACGTGGCTCCTGCAGATCCAGAGCAAGGACAAACTCCTGACTGGATTTTTAACTCTAAGAGCAGGCAAATCCAGATGTAAAGAAATAAATACCCACACATGTCTGGCCTTTGGAAAAGGAAATAGTTCAATACAAGCACTTATTTTGTGGAGGACTTGAGTCTACTGGTCAAGACTGAATGTGTTAAATGGTTGCAGATTCTGTAACTTAAATTTGTGGGTTTTTTAAGATTGGGTTTTAAGATTTGGGTTTTCTGAGGAAGGGTGATTCAAGTGACAAAGGCAAGCATTGCTACCTCCTCTCATTCTTGTTTCCCCAAAATTAGAGTGGCTTGAGGGTATTTTTAAAAATAGATACAAGAGGTGTATTTGCATTCTGTTTCTCTAGGGTCTCTACCTTCAGGTTTTTCTCTGAAATAATGATATCTAAAAATGTGTTTGTTTTTAATGAAACCTGAGCCTGTCATGTAAGCACAAAACCCCAGGCCTTTAGAAGAACACCAAATATTTCAGGACTAAGGGTAAAATCCACAAAGCTGGAAAAATTAAACAGCATTAATTTCTGGGCCATACACTGAGGGGAGATGTAAGATTTCCAGCTTTTCAACCTGGCAAATTTGTGCTGTTTAAATGATGTTAATAAATAAAGCAATATGATTTTTTTTTCAAAAGAAAAAAGAAAATCCCATTTCCAAACAGTTTTCCAGGCAAAACATCATCATTTGCTACTCTCCAAACAGTGACAGTTTCATTGTCTGATCCTTTGTTTATCAGATACGATTTTTCTCCTGTGAACTTCAAACATATCCTGCACTTCTCCAAGTTCCAGAATCTTTTCCTACACTATAAATAGTTTGCTCTGTGACTATGTTTCTTTGGAAGATTTGCTGTCTCTTCTTTTTCACTTGTATATGGAATTTTCAAAGATGCTGTGACCTTCCATAGCCAAACCCTGTGCTGTTAATTTTTGGGTGGAGCGTTGCAGTTTTGCAGCAGATTGGTTTTGTTCTTTGATTTATGGTGTCTTTTTCTTCTTTTTTCTCCTAAATCTTTCCCTTGCACTTTTTGGGTGCTTTCACTGCTTAGGATGCAAAATCTGGAGGAGTCTTAGTGGGCAGTGCCTGCTTATGACTCTGCATCTCTCTGTGCATGTTCTCTGCTTCCTAAACCAGCTTCAGCAGAGACACAGACAGAAATAAAGCAGGTTTATGCAGAATGGTTTGATCTTGCAGTCTTTGCTCATGTCAGTAATTCCATCAGCTCCCTGGGAGCCCTTCCCAGAGCCAAGGCTGCAGGAGTTCATCCCAACATCTGTAAATGAAAACCTGTAGGACACCAGGCTTTCTCCCTGCCAGGTGGCCTGCCTTTTCTTTTTTCTTTTTTTTTTTTTTAAACACATTTATTGGATTGCCTTCCAAAATATTTCTATTTCCCACTGAAAATAACTCTTGTTTAAAACCCCTGCAGACGTTAAACCCCACAGAGAAGCCACTTGCCCCGGCTGAAGGTGACCCTGTGGGCCAGAGGAGCAAGGAGAGCTCCAAAGACAAGAAGTCCACGGTGGAGCTGAGCAAGCAGAAGGGCAGCAAACAGGAGAGCAGGGAGCAGCCAGACCCCCGGGAGCAGCCGGCAGCCGACACCGACTCCATCCAGAACGGAGGAGACGCTTCCAAGGAACCCTCCTACAAGAAGACAGAGAAGAGGCAGTCCCTGGGAGGGTTTTTCAAGGGCCTTGTATGTTGATTCACCTTCTCTTTTTAGTATTTCCCAGCTGTTAAACAGCCTGCAGGTTGTTATCCAGGGGGGATTTGTGCTCTGAGGGAGTGCAGCTTCACCGGGTAGCTTTGCAGGGCTTAGGCAAAAGAACAGCAAGATTTTGGGCAAAGGAGGGAATTTTGGGCCTCAGGGTGCTGATTCAAAGGCAGGGTTTGCTATGGGAGAGCTGTAATTGTTCCCACACCACTGTTTTTGGGGTTCATGCCTTGGCTATGGGGATGACTAAACTGCTCCTGTAGCAGGCACTGAACCACCTACAAATTAGGGAGTGTTTATAAGGGAAAAGTGGAGGTGGTACTGGTTTACCAGAGTAACCTGCCTCCCTAAACCACCCTGTTGGTGGTTCAGCTTTTGCTTCAGAGCAGCTAGGATATGCCTGCAAAATGGGAAAGCCCTGCAAGGAATAAATCAAGGGAGACCACTGTGATGGGTACGAACCAGCATAGTGGTCACAAGATAAGTACCTTGTGTTACCAATCAGCGATAGACTCGTTAATGCACACAAAAAGTACACATGGTATTTTTTTCTTCTTGCTTTTTGTTAACTCTTTGCCTAAATTTGCTGTGACCCCTTCACTGAAACCTGAAATGCAGAAATGAAAGAATTCAGCACACTGAAACGCTGAGTTTCCAGGAGAGTCAGTGTTACTGGTGCCAACTGGTCAGAGCATTAAATAGATGGAGATTTATTTTTCTGCCTGTCCATATTCAGGGACACATGTAGAAACAGAAGCACAGGTTAGACCTGGGACTGCCTCTTAAGCCTTGGCAAGAGGCTTTTGATAAATCAGGTAGAAGGATGCAGCTTAAACCTCTTTGCTCACATTGTCACAACAACAATGAATCTGCAGCGCTAGGGGGTCATTTTTAGCATCTTTTGGAAACATTATGTGCTAATCGAGCTTCACCACAACTTTCAAGTGATGCAAAGAAACCCAACAGATGTGTCTGTTGTCTGCAATGATTCCTAGTGAACCTGGCTGCCCTAAGAGATGTGCAGCTTTCTGTCTCCTTCCTCACTTCTGTCAGGGTAGAAGTAGAGCTGGGCAATCCTTCAAGAAGAAAAGTCAAGCAATAGAGATTGAAATACTGACTCAGAGTTGGAAACCAGCCCTGTTAGGACAGTGGGTTATAAAGCCACTACCATGCACACCAGTGTGACTCATTCCAAGGCAGATGTTTTTCCACATCAGAAGTGCTTTATTTGCACCATTTCACAGAAGTACTGTGTATCCTGCAGAGGGTGATTTGCATCACCAAAATAAGGACATATTACAAGGGGAATTAAGAACAAAAGAGAAATAACTTCCTGCAGGAGAGATTAGCAACAGCTCAGCCCACTGCCTCGTTGTTCTGGGGTAAAATCCTGGTCCATCATGAGGTTTTCCTGTATTTCCAACAGAGCAAAGTGCTAGAACTCACCTGGAGTAAAAACCAACTTGCATTGGCTTCTGCTCATCTTGTCTTCTCCCAGTGAAGCCACGAGGAGAAATCTTGTTGCTTAATATGACATGAAAAAGCCAGAGTTGTATAATGATACTGGTTATACAGCTCTGTGAAGGTCATGTGTTTTTCTGTCTTCACCCCCTTTGCCTCCAAGTTCTGTGTGGATTTTCATTGTGCCCAACATTGGTGCAAGTGTGTAATGTGAGCCACACTCACAAACACGGTGTGTGGGTGTCATATCCTGCTCTGGGTATTGCCAGCTTCTAGGAGGAGCAGGGGTGCTGTTACTCAAACTGCTTGGATGGTGGTGACATATCTTTTGTCAGCTGGAGGGGATGAAGGCAGCCACATTTTTCCAGCACAGGTTGTCTAGAAATTAGGCAAATGTTACCTACCTCTGTTATTTCTGGAGAAACGTAAGATTTGTTTCTCTGGTCTGGAGCTGTCTTGAAGTTGAGCCCTCCCTTGTTGCATTTCTCACTGCGTGAGAAAGGATTTGTCTGTTGATAGTCACTCTTTATTTTGTATAGTGTCATCCATTCAAGCTGTATCCAAAAATCCTTCATAGAGTTTAACAGCAGTTACAAATTTAAAATTATTCCAGAAAGGGAGATATGAGGAAGTGCAAGAAAGCAAGAAAACAGTCTTTCAAGAGCAAAATTACGAGAGACACAGAGAGAGGCAGGAAAGGTGTCTCAGATTCAAAAGGCAAGAAAAAGCTTTTAGATCAAGAGAGGAGATTGTGAGGAGGTAAAAAGACCATTTGTGGAATAAAACACAGAAAAAATGTAGAGGAAGTAGAGATGTTCTGTGAGATTTTTTTGCTTGCCTCAGTTTGGCTGTATAGCCCCTTATCTCGTGTTGCAATTATAGAGGCCAATAGTACTGCTGCAGCTTCCTTCTCCCATTAATAGAAGATAGTTCTTAAAAAAAGGTTTTTGATAACAGTTAAGCTGCTTTGGCCAGTTTATTGTGCTTTTAAAGTGTCAGCGGGGAAAAAAAACCAAACCCATAACAATGAGGTCTGTGTATGGAACATCTATCATGAAAAATTACTACCTCTCTTTGAATATCCTCTAGAAAATTATCCATACCTAAGAAACCGAGTTCTGCAACACTCCTAAAAATAATCTACATCTCCCAGGTGATCAGACTCAGCCCCAGGAAGGTGTAATCATTAATCTCAAAGTATTAGATCACACACTCAAACCAATGCCAGAATCTCCATTTCAAGATAAGAGCTTGAGTATTTGGTGACAACTCAGCAGAAAAATTCAGCTTTGTGCCTGATAAAAGGGAAGCAGGAGATATTTAACAGGGGCTGCAGCAGCTCCCGTGCCTGTGCCCACTGAGCTCCTCCTATTCTGCTATTTCAGTAGCAGATATTTTAACACCACTCTCTTCTGGATCTCGATTCTCTCTGGGAAAGGGCACAGAGCAAGAGGATGTCAGACTGCAGGAATGCAGCCGATGAGAACACTGCACTTCCAGCATCTGCTCCCAGTTGGGCCAACAAAGGCTGAAATTTTGGCTACAAATTGAGCCACTTTTGCAAGCAAAGAGTGTTCCAGCCCTGCATGGTTTGAGCACAGCTGATAAGGTCCAGTGGTTGTTCCTATGGCAAAAGAGATTAATTTATAAGCTATATAAAATGTATTTAGTGAGTCTTAGAGAGATTAGATTAGAAAGAAGCAGAAAGGGGAGGGGGGGGAAGGTTAATGACATTGTTTTCTGAGCTGGAATAACTCATACTCAAGTTGTCAGAAGCTGGGAGAGCCTTAGCATGTGGAAACTACTGGGACCTGTTCTGCCCAGAGTATCTGCTCCACTGATACAGGCTTCTCCTGGGCAAAATCTGGGGGAAAAAATGTACTCCAATACCACATCATTCCTGTGTGTGCACTTTAAAGTGCTCTGCCCAAAATAACATCTTCCACCTTAGCTACCAACTTCAACTGCACTGTAAGACAAGAGCCAGTGGTACCTGTGCTTCTGAATCTGAGGGCAGAGCTGGAATTTGCCCATTAGAAGGGCAGGAACAAAGTTCTTTATTTCACACCTGGCTTGGAAATTCCAGTTTAATGAGAATCATGAGCCACTCTCCCTCAGAGCTTCCTGCTTTAATCAGCAGCCACCTTGAAAATGGGTGCAGCAGGGAGACTGCAGCATGAGCAAATAACATGACACCTCTGCAACTGTGCTAAATGAGTCAAAAATGGGGATTATCTCAAATGAGCTCCCCCTCTTGTCTCCTCCCTCCACCTATTTATAGGAAGAATGGCAAATAGTATCATCCTGTTTCCTAGATTAGTCTAGAAGTGGCTTAGTATCTTCATGCCCAGACAGGAACAGCTATAGCTGACAGACTCCATTATTGTTTTAATGTGGGAAATCTTTTACCTGTTGTGTAGGTTTTTAGGGTTGCTGGATAAATTCAGAATGACTAGGTCCTTAGTATTGTTTGATGAATAAATGATGATTTGCTACACGTAAATGGCAAAAAAAATTTATTCTGCTGTATTTATTCTTCCAAACTCAACATAAGTGGAAGCAGAAGCAAACCCATTGCAGCCAGTTGAGCTGCACAAGGTCACAGTTAAAGACAGGGGATTCTTTAGGTCCATTGTGATTTTTGACTGCTCTCTTTCATACTTAGATTCTCAAAGGTGAAAAGTTAAAAGAAGATCAGTGAGGTGGAGTGTAATCATTATAAAACCCCCACTGTTTTTACTTCCCTGAAAGGGGTGAGGAAGTTGAAATCTTTCACTCTCCATGTCTGACACAGAATTGTCCTGAAGTGATGAGTCAGGTTTCTAGTAGAAACATACTGTGTGAAAGGACAATTCACATATGATTCTGCACAGTTCCCATTGTAGGGAAAGCACACAGCAGCCACCTTTAGCTTTGTCATGCTGGTTTTTCTGTTTAGCATGCAATGATTTGGGCATCTGGCTACAAACAGCATTGGCATCCCACGCACTGTTAACAGTGACCTCTGAAACACTGCTTGTGGGTCCATTTTGCTGTCACCTTCTGAAGTTGTGATGACTTCAAGGCCAGTAAAATTAGGTCAAGCACCTTAAACTAAAGCCAAGTTTTTATCAGTTACCAGTGAAAAATGTAGTTGGTATAGCTAGAGCTATACATTTCCTTCATCTAAGCTGGATTAGTGTCTTGAACTGGTGCCAAACCCAGAATTATATTTGCAGTGTAAGAAAAGCTTTATCACTTTAACATTGTAGAATACCTGTCATGCATAAAAGTATTTAATGTTCCCTTAACCTAGAGCAGACCAAGGCTGGCTATAATACACTATTAATCATGCTTGAAGGACTCTTAGCACGGTTTCAGTGAAGCATTTAGGCCGGGGAAATTTTAGAGAAAGTTATGCCAAAACCCCTGTGCTACAAGCACGGCAGCTTGGCTCTGGGGTGTTAGCCCAGTTTCTGAAAACAATTGTTTTCCATGCCAATTGAGAAAATTATGTTAAAATAACCACATTTAGGCAAAATCACAAGCAGTAGATTTCTGGGGTTCTTGAGAGGCAGACAGTGCTCATATGCTTATACATATTAAATAAAGGGCAAATGAAGAAAAGCTGGGAGGTGGAATAAGTGGGAAATGTCTGGTAGCAAAACTCTAAGACAAAATTCCAGACTTAACCAGTTCTGAAATATTTGATAGTGTTTCTGAAGATCTCCCTCTTAATCCACAGGGTTCCAAAAGGACGTCTGATGCAGAGGTGCAAACAGATCCAGTGTCCATCCTACCTGCTGGGAAATCCAAGTAATGGCTCCACGTGGCTGCTGGAGGCTCAGCAGCTTTCTGCGAGCTCCCTTGCAGTAGACATGACTCATTCTTTTCCTTTACATGGCTGTCATCAAGTGCCTGAGGCTAAAGCAAACACTGGTGTATCATTTAAGGTATATCATTTACAGGGTTTGTTCCTTCGGTGTTAGAAAGCGACTCTAAAGATCACCAAGCAGTGTGCTGCATGTTTAAAAAAAAGGTCATGTGGATGATTTTAAATCTGTAGAGGGTAGGGTATGTAAGGTAGGTAGGTGGCAGTGAACTAAATAAAAGGCAGGAAAAAAAATGCACGTGACAAAGGAACGTAGATTGGGCAGCAAGGCATGAGCAACAAACCCTCTGCTTTAGAGAGCTTTAAAGCAGCCAGGAAAAACAAAAATCTCCTTTGATAAATCTTATACTCAGATGTAAAAACAACCAAGTCACTTTTTGTGGTTTTTCAATAGAGCTGAAATTAGCAGAAAAAAAAAAGCAAAAAAAAAAAAGCCTGCCGAAGAATAGAATCAGTGGTTATAAAGTTATGCTTCCTATTGGTTATTAATGGAAATTAAAACGCTAAAATGCAAAGGCTTTACGTGATTGAGACAACGTCTCTCTCGTCTGGGTGAGGTGGGATAACAAATTAAAAGCTATTTAAGGTTCTAATAGGAACACAAGAGGGCACCCACGTCCCCGTGCACTCCTAACACCAGGCTGTACCTACAATCCTGGGATTAATGTTTCTCAGATCATAGGAAACTTAGTTGTTTATTCAGATATTTGTTTTTATCCATACTTGTAATTAATCCTAATAAAAACCAAAATCAAAGCTGTCCAGGCACCTCCCTGCTTCACGAAACTCCTGTAATAACTGTAGTTAATAAGTTTTACAGAAAATTAAGATTTCTGTTTGTTCAGTCCTGGGCAAACCTGTACAGGGAACCACAGGCCTGATATTTTAATCCCCACTAGCATCTGAATGATACAGTAGTGTATATTTTGACCTCCTTATCTTTAAATAAACTAATACTTATCCTTTGGAAAAAAAAAAATCCTTTGCTGCTTTAATTTTAAAACAAAGTTTGTTATTTATGTCCCTGTGGTCTGATGATTGATGTGACATTAAGGCAGAAATGAACACATACAAACCCTGCCCATGGAGGGAATAGCTGTTATTCATTCTTTATGGGAGTGAAGATTATAACTGGAAATCAGGGGAGAAATCTGTAAAATCTGCAGAATTCCAGTTCTAACTAGTCAGGGAGGTAAAGAGCTTTGTTTGTCCATGAGCCACTGTAGGTTGGTTGTGTTTTTGCAAACCTGCAGAGTTGGAGTGAACAACCAAAACTTGCTGCTGGTTCTATGCACAGGGAGCACAGACAAAAGGTTCTTCAGCTCTAATGGCACTTTCTGTTCCCCTCCCTGGCACAATGGGCCTCTCATGCCATATAAAGTGATATCAATCAAGAGGGACCGTTTGCATATTTCCAACCTGATTTGTAGCATCCTATTTGTACATCTGTGTGGGACCAGTGACTCCCCCACTATGGCAGCATGAGAGAAGAACTGGGCTTATCATGACCAGCTTTGCTACACACAGAGAGAAAGAAAAAAAAAAAAAAGTTTTAGGCTTTGTCTACATTACATGAGCTTTAATTAAATCAGTGCATGTAAGGCTACATACAGGGAGACAACCACCATGGTTACACAGTGGTATGAAAGTGCCAGATGTCAGCACAGTGTGTGTTACCAGAGCAGAGGAATAAGCTGCTGACTTCATCCTGCTGTAATTGCCTCTGTGTTAGAATAGTATTTAGGCATTTTTCAAATAAAAATATGCTCTGGCTATTCAGTTACATTATAGAATCACAGAATGGGTTGGGCTGGAAGGGACCTTAAAGATCATCCAGTTCCACCCCCTGCCATGGGCAGGGACACCTTCCACTAGCCCAGGTTGCTCCAAGCCCCATCCAACCTGGCCTTGGACACTTCCAGGGATGGGGCAGCCACAGCTTCTCTGGGTAACCCGTGCCAGGGCCTCCCCACCCTCACAGGGAGGAATTTTTCCCTAATATCCCACCTAACCTTGCTCTCTGTCAGTTTGAAGCCATTCCCCCTTGTCCTGTCACTCCAGGCTCTTGTAAAAAGTCTCTTTCCATCTTTCTTGTAGCTCCTTCAGGTGCTGGAAGGTCACAATTAGATCACCCCAAAGCCTTCTCTTTTCTGGGATGAAAATTTAGACTGTGTATGTATTATTATATTATAGACAGTGTAGACATTAATGTTATATTTTGGACAGATCAGACTTTCTGTGGAAGAGAACAACCCTTCCCCAGCCCACTGGTTTAGGAGCAGGTCTGTGCTGATTGCCCTCTGTATTCCCGAGGCAATTAGAACTGCTGACCACGTGACTGGACCGTATCACTTGGCAATGGGGCTAATTTCAGGAATCAGGAAATCCTCTTGGCAGAAAAACAAGAAAAACAGTGAGTTTGGCTGTAGATGCCCCTCATGCCACGGAGCTATTATTGCAGATGAAATAACGGTTAGTGTTGGCACTGCCTCCCACAGAGAAACTCCCTGAATTTTTTGATTCCTCTCTGATAGCAGGAACAACACAAGCTTTGAAGAAGCCAGTCAGCCTTCTCATAAAGCAGCAACACATGGAGCCCCAAGAGGAAGAAAGGTCTTAGGAGATGCATCCCCAGTTCAGTTGAGCTTCCGCATTCCACACGCCCTATAAGAAACATAAAAGTACAGCTTTTATGTTCAGGCCCGGTAAAGCTTAACAAGTCATTTGGAAATCAAAGCTTTGGAAGAGGCTGCAGTCCAAGACAAAGGAAAAGAGCAGCCAAAGCAATACATTGCATTTAGAGATTGTTGTCAACAAATAAGCTCTGGCTTTATGCATAAGATCTTTTGAAGCAGCTCAAGCTGTTTCCAAGGATCTTAAGGTGTGTTTCATGTAGGCAGTTCAGAAGAATTTAAAGCAGATGATGCTTAGTATAAATATATCTCATAAATATAAAAGAGGATGGATTGAAATAGCTACATTTTGTGTAAGAAGTGCTTCCCTCCAATGGACAGATGTTTCTCTCCCTCTCAATAAGAGAGCAGGTTCCCAGGTGGAGTTCCTGGCTCTGCCTCCATCACACTGTCCACAGGACAAGCTCCCAGTAGGCCAAGCTCATCACTGCACACAGGGCTTGGGTGCTGCAGGTTTTCCTGACCTGAGAGCAAATTATCTCCGTGGAAGTGTATCTGAGCTCAGTTGTTCTTCTCTGGAAGGTGTCCAGATGTGTAACTGCGCTGCCTTTCAGGAAGGTTCTATAGATAACTCCTGGCAGAGCTGCCCTGCCCACCACGCTCAGCCCCAGCAGGACAACGAGATCTCCGGTACTATCCGTCCATTAACCAGCTGCTAATTACACACACCAGGTAATTGCACTTTAGCAGCTATTACTTATTTGGTGTAAGCACTATCTACAGACCAAAAAAAAATCCAAAAGCCTGGTGGTTTTCCAGCCTGCCCTGTCTAGAGGCTGTCTCTTGAGGGGTGTCAGGAGGCCCTGCTGAAGGTCCTGCAGAGGTTGCAGTGAGGGCCCATCTCCATGTCCCAGACCCATTTCCATGTCCCAGACCCATTTCCATGTCCCAGACCCATTTCCATGTCCCAGACCCATCTCCATGTCCCAGGCCCATCTCCATGTCCCAGGCCCATCTCCATGTCCAGCCAACCACCCGCCCAAAGTCTCCTGTCCCCAGGGTGAGGAGAGGGACCGGCAGACTCGCTACGCTTCCCCTGACACAGGGGACAGAGGGACACTGAGGCAGTGCTGAGGGCTGGGTCCCTGTGCTCAGGGACAATAGGTGTGTGATGGCTGCTGTGACCCTGCTGGGAGTACTGTGGTGGGGCATCCTGGGGGGCTGCAAAGTGTCCATGAAGGATAAGGAACCAGTGCAGGGGGTCACAGAAAGAGAGAGGCCTGGCTGCACATGACCTGTGGGGCTGAGGTGTTGCTGGCACCAAATCATTGCTGATTTTTTTGGGGGACACCACACCTGGTGCCCCAAACCTGTCTATGGGCTGCCAGGCCCCCTCCACCTCCTCCACCTCCACTCTGTCCTGGACAAAGCCGGAGGGCTGCCCAGGAGCTTTGGAGAATCCCAGCTCCTGCGAATATGTGCCTGAAAAGACCATAATTGCACTCTTGATCCTGTATAATTGGATCTTGGGAGGTTCCTGTTGGCCACCTGGCTGCTGAAAGCATTTGTTCTGATGAATTAAGTGCATCCATCCATCACACTGGATCTGCACTCCCGGGGAGGTCTGCAGAGCAATAAACTCCTCCGAGAGTATCTAGACTTTCTCCCTGTTGACCATGCCAGACCTGTATCTACCCTCAGCCTGGTGTTACTCTGGAGCAGCTTTCCAATTGGGAATCTGATCAGGATCTTGTAAGTATGAGATTCTTCACTCTGCTCACACTGAGACCTGGATCTGACATCTAAGGGAGTAGCAAAGCTACTTCCAGGGTTTGTGTGTCTCAGAGCTCTGCACCCAGGGCTCAGAACATGTTTTAAGAATACCTTAGCACCTTTTTATATGTAAATTTTACATCTGGCTTTGAAGCAAGGGGGGCAACAAAATCCATGGCTTCATCCATGGAATAGGAAGCGTGAGAGGAGATAAACACAAAGGGTTCATGTGCAGATGGGCTGGGCTGTGGGAACTGACCCCATCTGGGAAGTTAGAGGAGGAATAGCTTGAACTTCTGTATTGTCATGCACTAATTTGAGAATATCAGTGAAAAATCTGGATTTGCTATAGACTCCACCTCTTCTGGATAACACACCCCGTCTTTACTGGCAATTTCAGCAGTTTAGCAGTTCTGAGAACACAAAAACAGGAAATTCTGCAGCAGCCTTGACGGAGGCTGAAGATGCATAGAAATTCCTTAAAGAAGTGTTATTTTTTGAAAACAAACTATCAAAAGCCTTGAAGAAGAATAAACCTCTTATCAACAGTCTTTGCTTTTACTTAATCATTTCCTATTAAATTTGTCACCTACTGAAGTGCAGAGGAAAACAGCCTCCTGCACAGGAAGCAGGAGCGATTGGGCTTGGAACTGGAAAAGGACAAAGTCCGAATTCCTTCTTTATCACATCCCACTGTGAGCAGGTGATGCAGCATTTGGTATTACTCCTTCACCCACCTTTACACAGCATAGGAATGAGGTCCTTTACTACCATCACAGTGCACAGGGAATGATAAAGACAGACCCCAAACACGATGACGTTTAAAACACAATTAGAATTTTGCAGACTCATCTTTGTTGCAGTGCTCCACAAATTTTGGGGATGGTTGTGATTACTTCATTAGGGTTGCTTGGAAAACAGAAGGGAAGTGGGGATTAAGTTGCAGAGTTTTCACTTTTTGTTTTTTTCTGTCAGCAGTTTCTAGTCAATTGGAGAAATAGATTCTTAGTTGGTATAATCTGCGATTTTATTACTTCAGTAAATGAAACTGAAGTAGCCCAGAATGTTGAGGCACTGTCACCACAGGCAGCTTTTGCTTTGCAGCTTTTGAGCCCTGGCAGTGACTGTCACAAGAGAAGGAAAAGGATTGCTTGTGAAATATTTGCTTGTAAAATTGAGCTGAAGCTTAGTTGTTGTTGGGTTTTTTTAACCACTGATTCACAGCATTGGAAAGGCATATAATTATCAAATGCCCTGTTCCTATACAAACAGATTATATAGCTTCTGGTAAACAAAAGACTGAGAGAAATAAGAACATATCTCTGTCTGGTACAGCTGAAAATCATTCTATCAG